TTACCGTTTCTTCCTAATTCAATTTATTGTACATTAAATTGAACACTTAAACCTAAATAAACCTTCTAAACGAGATATTTACATTCACGGGCATTTTGACTAAAACAATTAGACTAATGCCATATTTAGAACTAATAAATAACGAATATGAAATGCTTTATTAAAATGTCCTTTCGAAACAATTACTAATAATATTAAAGTATTTAACATTGTAATTTCATGTGAAAAAAAAGTTAATTCAGTCTAAAAACTGCTTATTACTGATTTTTTATTGACTGATAAGGCTGGCGATTCCGATTTTTGTTTGTATAATAACAGGCAATTGTGACAAATTAATTCCTGAAAGTCAATAAGGCACATGTAATATGCAGCAATCAAATTTTCATATTTGTTATTACACTAGCACACAGAAGATTCACTCAAAACCCAACATTACACCGAAAGTGCAACGTCAAAACATATACTCAAAACTTAAACGGTCTTATTACAAAACTTGGTTTATTGATAGTCTTGGGTCTAAAAAATGGTTTAATAATTCGTTTTTTTTTTTTCGAAAGGTTGCCTAAAAGCCACGGCGCCACAGTCTTCGCGAAATTTGGCTTTTGCAGTCGAATTCCATGCCTTACGTTTTACTTCACATATTGACTAGTTTAAGCCTGAGACTAAATAAACTACTTTTTTTAATAAGACTGAAACAGATGGACGCTATTAAAGCAAATTGAAACATCATTTCAAACTGTCACAAGTGACAAAATTTATTAAAAATTGTTAAATTTATAGCTGACATGGAAATATTGCAAAAATAAGCATAGGTGTATATAGAATACCTGTTGGTATATTTATTAGAAAGCGGTATAAAATTATAATTCGATGCAAAATAGTTCGAGAAGTGGCCCAAATTAAAATGGACGTTGAAGTCTATGGATATGTATGGTTTAAACAAGCAAATAAAATTACATTAAGCAACGTTGATTATGATGAATCAATGTACAGGACAGGATACCTAGTCCTAAACATTCAGAATAAAAAGACATGTTTCTCTTGCTTTACTTAATAAAATAACTTGAGGTTGGCTGTTGCACATGAAAATGGGTATTTAATGTCAGATATTGCTTACATTTTAACAAAGTTAAAAATGTTACTGGGTATTACTGTTTCTTATGTAAAGCAAACTTATGTACATGTATGTTGTAGTCCGATCCTTAGAATTGGGCAGATCGTAATATTACTGGGAATTTCATGATACGTCGCCATTTCACAATATGGCCGATAATTTTAATAATTTTGACTTTTTAGTATATTAAAAATACCAAAAGCACCTATCTAGTATTATCAGCCATAGTAGATTAAATTATTATACGCGGATTTGAGGTGTCCAAACGTCCACCCAAATCCGCGTACATTTATATATTAATGTATAAATTAGGCACAAAATGCTAAAACGGATAAATTATCGGCCAAATCAAGAAATGTCCAGTCAGATTACAATCTGTCCAATTCTACGGTTGAACTACAACACATGCAGTTCAAAGGTGTGGTTTAATGCCTAATGCATTCTACACCACCTGTATTATATTTATATTCTGACAAGAATTAATAACGTGAGATTTGTGTTTATGTCTAACTGGTAACAACGGTACGGTTTGTATAGCTAGTGTACGACAACAATGATTATGACCAATTGACTAAAAACGTCAGTTCCGATTCTCGAAAACTAAAAAACCCTGGGATGATGTAACATTATTGAATAATCATCCAAGCCCAAACAAAACAGTTTAATTTAGAACTTTGGGCACAAAAGGTAATGAATTTTCGAGATCGAACCCTCGTATATTTGGTATTGAACCATCTACACAACTATTAAAGATTTATTTAACAGTGCGAAAATATCTCTTATATTTAATTTTTTTAATAAATTCACTTTAATTCCAGACTCCTAAAGCAATTATCTAAACGCCGAAGAGATCATTTAAAAAATACAATTTTGACATATAAATATTTAATTGGCCGAAAGTACCCGAGTATAAATTACATAATTTCTTTTGTCTCAACCATTATCACCTTCTAAATAAAAACCAATCACTTTGAGAGCCGGGAACTTATGCTAAGTTTTAAAGTAAATCTAATATATTTACATTGAGATTGTTACATTATAAATATTCATTTATCTAGTGTCGTTAATGATTTGAGCTGATTCTGTTAAACTATCGTTATCTTGTATGTCAAAGACGATTTCTACACAATATATTGATAGAGTCAGACATACCAAGAAAGATAAAGAGTTTGCTATAAAACGAAAATATATGACGAGTTTTTAAGTTCGTGTAAGACATATACAAAAAATTAAACATGGCATTCAAAAAAGAATTAAAATCACACCGCATCACTTAAATTAAATCACTGTACATAATCATACATAATAGTTAAATAAGTAGATATCCATCTAATAAAAGAAAAAATTTAAAACGCATGGAAGACCGACATCACAACATAAATGATAAAACGATACATGAAAATTTTAAAATTGAAGTTCGCACCAATTTTTCACTAACATATTGACCGCGTCTATATTTCATAGGGACGCGTATGAACCTCTACTCCTTAGCGTTTAAACCTTACTCGTTAAAATTATATTGCACAAACGAGTGCGTTTTGACGCGACGTATCTGGTAGTAAATGCAGTGTTATATCCATGTATATTGCATGAAAATTAAATGAACTATGTGATAAGGTTGTGGCCTACGTCCAAACTACATTTCCTTCTACTTGAGCTAAAGTAAAACGCTATATGCATACAATACTTGCATACGTCTCTACTGTCAATACAAATTCACATTATACGATATGAACAAAAATGTAATGCACTTTATACAAGCCTACACAAATCGAACAATAAGACTTACAAATAAAGGTATTGAGATCGTGCCCATAATGAGTAATGTGCTAGATACAAGAAATAAATTACGTTTAAACTTTACCTAAAAAAGACGATTTTAAAACTACCCACGATATCAATAACTGAAAATAATGGCGAGGGTTAATCCTACCAAAGCAGGCTAGAAATGCGAATTTTCTCGTGTTTACACAGATTTTAATTTCATAAAAGTTTTCAAGTATACTAATGCTTTTCAGTAGTAGCAACGTTTCTGTTGTGTTATTTTATATGAAATAAAGATCAGACCGAATCTTTTTCTTTCATTTTAAATAATCTACGAAAGGCAGGTAAGGCAGGGAAAGGTAAACTTGCCTCTTTAAATTGAACTTTTAGATTCTTAGTAAAAAAGAAATGAATTCTTTAATATAATTTGATAATGATATATCTAGGTACCATACGCTCATTGGAGTCTCAAATGACTGGGTTCTATCTATGTAGTTTTTAGCTATAGTTAAAAATTGAAAAATACTCAATGCTAAAGTTAAAAACCGTTACGACAAGTTGAACAATCTCCCGCACCACTGATCTACGAAGTACATTGCACAATTTTTATTTGCCTTTTGTCGTTTTATACGCTTATTTATTAATTACAACATTGAATCATTCGATTAAATGCAAATCACGCACTCCATGTAACACATAGATCCATCACAAAAGTAAGTACATCATGGTACTTTAATATATTCATGTGAACTCCATTGTTTAAAGATATGCAGGCAACATTTAAGAAAACCTATTGTAAAATGTGTGGTAATAGAATTTTTTTAAAGTACAGTTATAAGCATTAATGCATTATTAGTTGCTATTGTCAAATCGTGCAGCGGTGGTGTAAGAACAACCTGCACCCCATACCGTCCCGAGGGTGTCATAAAAGGCGACAGAGTGAACATGAAACAGGTGATGGACAGCATCATCTATGATAACAACTCAAAATAATGGGTGCGTTTGGCAGAAAAAAGCGCTAGCAAGCGCTTATAAGCGCTAAAATAGTTTTCGGCCAGGACACGATTGCTACTTCAGTAGCGCTGACACAATCCGCCATTTTGCTTATTTAATTTGTTTGTTTTGAAGTAGAGTTTATAAGTTGTTTTGTGCAATATTAGTTTTAAGTAATATAATGACATGAATAAACATATACATGCAATTAAAAACTCATGATTGGTAAGTTTTTAATATGAATACTTTACAAACATATATTTAAATTAGGTTAGATTCCCCGGTTAAAACTAACATCGTGTCCTAGAGGAAAATAGCTACTTACGATTTGACAGCGCTTACCGCTTACGATCGCCATTTTGCTTACAAGCGCTTGCTAGCGCTTTTTTCTGCCAAACGCACCCAATTAAAAAATGTGGCTGTGACTAAGACTAAGGTGACTGTGATGATGTCACCTTCCTTATGATTGACTCAGAAGGTAGGTGAAGGATATGTGATGCTACGTAGAACCATCGTGTTAAAATTCATTTCAAAAAGGTTTATGAAGACCTAGACGACTGTAATGATATGACCTAACTGATGGTGGACTCCGAGGGTGGGTTTAGGATCTCAGTGACGTCACTCCATAGAACCATTGTGTTTGGACTCATTTGAAAGTTACTCATAAAGACCTAGAAGACTGTGATAATTTCACATTCCTCATTGTGCTAAACGGCAATATCTTCCAAACAACCCGGAAGAATAATTAGACATAAAAAAGGAAAATAATAACGGGTAAAGTGCCCTAAAATAAGAAAAGATCACACTGCCTGGCAACTATGACAAAGTCCCTCCATCAGACAATCTATGAAGGACCTACGTTCAGCAATGGACTTTTATAGGTTGGAATGGATGGATCGTGTGCCAAATCGGGTTTACATTCAACATGTCTATAATTACATCACACGGCAGTGTGAGGGGTTTATAATTATAATACATTAATGCTTACAATTGCGTTACAGAGAATCACACGCTAAAAGAAGGTTGTTGCAAGAGTTTTGCGACTGCTACGCCTACTTCAATAAACATACAAATTGTCTAAAATATGTGCCTACTGATGAACCACAATGGAGATGGTGTAACCGTATCGCTAACTGGCCGTCGAAGTGGGCTGTAAAGCCGCGGAAACTATTGGCGAGTTGACATCTGTAAATTAAAAGAAAATCATTATATTTTTTTTCCTAAAAAAAAACTATTAAGTTGTACTGGTCACAGGCATCCACTTTTTATTGAGGGTAATGGGAGCTAGTTACAAGCCACGCACGTTTGATAAATTAAGAAAGCATACCACCGTGAGTTGCCGGTGATGTTTTGGGGAACCTAGATTTGTTTCTTCCTATCCATATAAAAAAAAGTTCATTACATCATACATCATTAAAATGTAAGCTATAGTAACAATAAGCCAGACATATACAAAGAACTGATATCTGATTGAGAATAAATGCAGCCTCGTACTGGGCAGTGGCCTCCCATAAGATGGAGTAACAGAGTACTCAGTAAGACGTACAAGGGTTCGATGGTTGCAGTTGGCTCAGAACCAAGTTTCTACTTATGTTGAGTAATAACGTCCTCCAGACCGAATTTCGGCCACCATGACCTGCCTCAATGGAGGCTAGCCATCAGTGCAAGACAGGATTATAGTGCCCAAGTGTATGCGCAAGCACAGGTGCACTCTCTATTCCCTCACTCTCATAATTCGATGGGACGGTAAACCGACCGGAGAGAGATCAGGCGCAGGACTAACGGCTTTACGTGCTTTCCGAAGCACGGGGGTGAGACACTGCCAACTTTCTGACTCCGGGCAGCTACTGAGAATTTCTTGACAGAAAAACTCAATTATTGATTTTTTTTACCCGACCCGGGATTCGAACCCAGGACCTCATGATCAGCAGTCGCACTACTACAACCACTAGACCCACGAGGCAGCCGGCCATATACAAAGAACTGATATCTGATGGAGAATAAATGCAGCCTCGTACTGGCCAGTTGATTCCCATAAGATGGAGTAACAGAGTATTCGGTAAGACATGCAAGGGTTCGATGGTTGCAGTTGGCTCCGAACCAAGTTTCTACCTATATTGAGTAATAGACTAGGGATAGACTGTAATGATGATGAAGAAAAAATCTACTGAGATCTATGACATTTCATTCGAAAAAATATTATAAGGCAATACTGACTCGTTGGCGTGTTGACCTCGGAGTGTGGTGTGAGGTTTGACTGCGCCATCAACTTCTGTCGCACTTCGCGGATCTTGAGCTGAAGGGACATTTTTGTCGGAAATATGTCCATGTGCGTTGTCTGTAGAAAGATAATTTTAAATTTAACAAAAAAAAAAATAAGTCAATTGAAATTTTTCTGGATATTAGTTGACTGAAATATTTACATTATTACCATGCCATGAAATACAAAACGCAAACATTGTTTCATTATGATTGTTTTTATAGAATTTGGCTGACAAACAAGCACACAGTCCACCCGATTGTAAGTGGATGCTGTGGTCCATAGACATCTACATTTACTGTTAAGAATGCATTTTAACCCCTGAGGACTAAGATGGAATGCCTCGTTTCCAGTAAAAAAATGATCTCACATTACGAAACACAGCACCATTACGCTGCAATTTTATGCTGGTATTCTGTGAGAAGAGCGTGGTCCAACGCGGTCAAGCCAATCCATTCATGCTACAACCATAATATGGCTGAAGTGTGGCCCCCTACCACGTATAAATCTGATGAAACATTTAATGATGAATTTAATCAAATGGGTTGCTAAAAATCTAAGTACCGTGGCGTAAATAATTGTTATTTATTTTGTACACATGACTCGCACTTACTGGTTGATAATTAAAAAATACAAACTTTAGAAAATTTTATTAGGGTTTCTGATAATCAATTAAATCAACATTGGAAATCATGCAAGATAATATCGTATTTTCCAAATAAAATCAAAACGTTTCAATTGACAAATAAATCAATAATATGGTTTTTATATCCCTATAGTTAGGCCTCGCTTCATTCAGTCGTTTTTCATTTTTGATATAATTATCATTATACCATCCCTTATTATTATGACTCTTAAGGCCGCTGTACACATTGGGCCAAAATAATGAATTCCAAATGTTGCTGTTTACACATTGGTGTAGTGATCATTTGACATTGGCTTTTTAGTAAAGATGAAAGTGGAATCTGTTGCAGCCGCGGAAATTTATTTATACAGTGCGTTTAATTATTACCTTAAAGTACACCAAAATAGAGTGACTAAAAAGAAATGGCGCTAATAAAGATGGTAGATATTGACTAGTCATCAGAACAGATCGAGGTAAATGATAGTTGTTTAATACAATTCAATTAATTACTTAGTTAAAAGTTATAGTCCTTTATTCTCTTAAATTGAAAACATGATATGTCCTACAGCAGCGATCTCAGACCTATATCAAAACAAACTGAATAAGACGCCAAAGTGTGAACACTATACCAATAAACGCGCCAATATCCTTTGATTGTTGCACGAAAAACCGACAACTTTCGGTTGGTCACGTTGGTCCAATGTGTACAGCGGCCTTTAAATATTTATGTGGTGGTATAAGGTAAGGATGTGTATGTGGTGATGTAGGAACGACCAGGATTTATGGGCAAATGCATCTTTGCGTGGTAGAGCCCCGCCGCAGCTATATTATAGTTGTACCATTAATGGGTCGGCTCGACCGGGGCAGGACCTCGCTCTAACAGAATACCAGCGTCAAATAGCAGCTTAATGCTGTGTGTTTCGTATGGTGAGTGTAGAGAACCGGAGACCCTTTTTACTGGAATTGAGGCATTCTATCTTAGTCCCCAGGGTTGACAACGCATTTGCATTTTGATCCTTAATTGAGAATAAGTGTGGATATCTATGGCCCACGGCATTCACTTACCATCAGGTGGACTGTGTGCTCGTTTTTCACCCAATACTATAAAAAAATACCAATTATAATTCTTAGACACAGGTGTTGGGTATATACAATTGGTAATATACAAGTAGCAAAAATGTAGGCCCTTTTTATGCATGTTTAGTTTTATAAAATCACACAAAATAATTTCTGAAAATATCTTGTCGTAGCTTCCGCCAGAAGGATGTAAAAGAAAACGAGATACATAATATTTCGAATTATTTAAAATAACAAACTTAAGACATAATATCAAATTTCAATAATATTACAGTTTTGTTTTTATTTTTATATTATCTAATCCGAGTCGTAATAGTTGTGAATAATTGTCAAAGTAGTCAAGAATATTTTATAATTGAATAATTAATCTTATAGAAAAGTGGGGAGGATGTATACAAAATTATTTTAAATGAAGTCTGCTATGACCAATTATGGGCTTTTTATCAATCAATATATATATATATATATATATATATTGGGTTATATGTGTAGTTTATTTATTAGTAAAATGTATATATTACGTAGTTAATTATCATTTTAATTGGTTTTTTAATCCCATATTGCTAAACCTACGTCAAATTCTCACTACTCTATGGATTGACTGGGAGACAATGCTTCAAGGCATTAGCTTCGCCCTTTGTGTTCTTTTCTTTTAATGAATGCAATAAATAATGAATAAATAAATAAAATAGTAGCGATAACGTTTTTGCAAGATACAATGTAGGAAGCGCAAGTGGAGATGTGACCTGGAAGTTGGAGGTGGCCTGCGTGGTGGGGAACATGCCGTGCTCCTGGAAGAGTTTAAGCACGAGGTGGCGGCGCTGCTCCAGCACGCGGCGGTGGCCCGCTTCCGCGCGCGCGCCCGCTCCCGCGCCCGCGCCCGCGCTCGCCGAGCACGGCGTGTGCGGCGACATATCCTCCGCGTGCTCCGCCACAGCTGCACATCAAAACAACATTGCTTACATTGACAAACGGCTGGCTTTAGAGGCGCGTTAAATGTCGACATCGTTCTAGACGCTCAAGATCGCTCAGCGAGCTAGAGGGCTATGCTCGGAGTTTCTCTGCGTGATAGACTCAGAAATGAGGATATCCGCAGTAAAACCAGAGTGACCGACATAGCCCAACGGATTAGTAAGCTGAAGTGGCAATGGGCCGCCCATATAGCTCGAAGTACCGATAACTGATGAGGAAGAAAGGTTCTCGAGTGGCAGCCTCGTACCGGTAGGCGTAGTGTAGAGCGACCCCCCACTAGATGGAGTGACGGCCTGGTAAGACATGCAGGAAGTCGATGGATGCAAGTGGCTCAGGACCGTGCTTTGTGGTATTAGTTGGGGGAGGCCTATGTTCAGCAGTGGACTTGTGAAGGGCTGTAATGATGATGATGATGATGATTGTCCTAGGCTACCCATCTCATCGACATCCCTCTAGCGACCAATTTACCTGTATAAACATATAAAATGTTTCTACCTATGTCCGTCGTATACTTTAAAACCATTCAACCGATTTTGATGAATTTTTGTGTATTTAAATGGGTCCCTAGATGATTTATATTCACATTTAGACCCGGTAGGTAGCACTGTTTTCGAGATCCAGAAATCATCGTTGCGAAGCCAGGCCGGATCGCTAATATATTGTAAATTATAACTACTCATTTTGCAAATAAACTATTTTATAATATAGTATATTACTTTCAAAATAATTAGAACACGAGTACCATTGACAGGAGAACGTGAATAAAAAATTTGTTGAGCGAATTGTGACGACGCAGAAATAGTCAAATAAACGATATTTTTTCATTCAAAAACTTCCGTGCGCAACCGTTTTTAACCTTGCACCCCCTATACATGTGCCTTTTTTATAAAATAAAGGTAACAAACGAGCACACAGTCCATCTAATGGTAAGTGGATGGTGTGGCCCATAGACATCTACATTTAACCTCGATTTAGAATCAAAATGCAGATGCGTTGTCACCCCTAAGATGGAATGCCTCGATTCCAGTTAAACGGGTCTCCGGTTCTCAACAATCACCTTACGAAACACAGCAGTATTAAGCTACTATTTTACGCTGGTATTCCCTGAGAGCGTGGTTCTTCCCCGGTCGAGCCGACCCATTCGTGCCACAACCATAACATAACTGCAGCGTGGCTCAACCACTAATAATGGCTAATTTGCCTTAACCAATTAATGATTAAATCGAGTGAAATTAAGAAAAATAAACATATTTCTATTCAATTTTATAACAAGATTTTAGTATCTTAGATAAAATTAGTCCTTAGTAGATTACTGAAATTTATGTAAATCATGTCTTTTAATGCAGAAAAATAATTTATCATAACATTTTAAATAAAAGCAAAAACTCATTCTTTAACGACAAATATTAATTTAGTAGTCATTATATTCGAAATTTATTTTGTAAAATATCTTATTTACATTAAATCCAGTTGATTCTAAATGAAACTAATTGATTACGATATATCGGATTATCATATAAAGAATTGTTTGTATTTACGTTGGATACATCTCTAGCCTAGACCGCCCCGCGTTCGCTCCTTCATACCATCATTTGGTTCCAAGATAATGTATTGCGCAGCTATTCGCACGAAGTTCGGACCGCCCAGGGCTCATCAGCCGTACCGTAACAAAGAAAGAAAAGTGGTCCGCGGAAAGTGCGATCCGAAAGGTCCACAGGACTAATTTCTCAGTGGAAAGAATAAAAAATATCATATATTTTAATATTTTATACAATTTTTCATTCGGCACAAAAAACGACTTGACCGATTTTGCTCAAAATTTAACGAGGTCTAAGTTACATAATTATGCGTTAAATGAAACTGGTCCCATGTCAATATCACTCTTTGTTTTCAAGATACACGAAGCGAAAATAGAATCCGAACATAAATACATACATATGTACATGTGCACACACGGACATCCTTTCGAAAACCATTCGACTCTAAAGACCTTGAAACGTGGATATGTTAAAATTTCCGATTTGCGAAATCGGACCCATTACAATAACTTCCCACTAGGAAGCTAAAAATAAAAAAGGACGCAAAACGTGGAAATAAATACTTACAATGCATTAATAATCGAAATGCCTTCTTGTTTATATTACAAATGTGCCAATCATTCAGGAAATAAAAAAAGTTCTTATGAATCACCTTTCATGTGTATTTTGAAATAAAATTACCCGGCCATGTCAATGTGGAAGCAGGATAGAGCACTACGCTCACTGCCACACACACATGGGTAAATTTGTGTGTGACACGTAGTCCAAGTTTTCGATTATATAATGTTCGGGCTTACTGTATTTTTGTTTATATCGATGAAATACAATTACACGCCTTGACCAAAACCGTTAAGAGTACCACAGACAATTATTGCCAGTGTCAAGTACGTAATTAAAATATTGTTTATGAAATTATGTACAATAAGTTGGGGTAAGGTGGCGAAGTTTTCGTAAGATTTAAACACGACATAAATAAGCACTTAAAATTGCAATTAACAATTTCAATGACACCTACACCGGAGATCGAACTCAATAACAGCCGCATTATGAACCTTAAGGACTAGTCCCTAAGCTACTACGGCTCAACTAACCAATTCAAATATAGATTCATTGGTTTCAAAAGACCTGTTATTTACAGTGTAACACTGTAGACTGGTGTTATCTGTCTATATTATGTATGGTAATTTAAGACAAGTACTACACAACTAGAAACTATTTTTCTTCGTTATTTCTTTTCGTAAGCAGTTCACACCTGGTTCTTTCTCCATAGAAGATCTCATAGAATAGCTCTTCATACTCCATAGAATTTATTATAATCGCTGCAATTTTCAATTAAGACGTTTCGCACCTATGACGTTACTTCTTGTCTCGAGCATTTACGAGATCAGAACTGTTGACGAATATGTATATAGCGAACGGCACAGAAGCGTGCAGTGGCGGTGTAAGAATATCTACCAACCCATATCGTACCGTGGGTGTAGTTAGAGGTGACAACGGGAAACTGAAACAGGTGATGGACAGCATCTTCCTGGAATTTTTCGCACTCGGGCCTTACAACATCCACAGGAATCGATGGGAGTGATGGATGGACCCTAACCCAGCCACCAGACTAGGTCTTTTTGCCACATCATAGCAACTGCGTTAAAAATGAACACAAAAGACTAGCAGAGAAAATATTACCTCGGAAACTGTCAAGGTTGAAATCTGGACCGAAGAAGGTATTGCCGACGAGTTTGGTGGTTGTGTGCGGTGTGCTGTACGAGTGCGGCGTGGGCATGCCGGTGCCGTTTATCACTTCGGCTTCTAGTTGCGGTGTCACAGCAGCGCCCTCTTCCTCTGTTTAATTCACCAAATGGATATAAAATATGTATTATACAAATTATAATTGAAACTATAAATAGCAGCATAAGACAGAAGATAGTTATTACAAAAGAACAGATTCTTTAATTTCTATGTAAACACAAAATACTGAATAATCTAAATCTATCATCTGAATTGAACTAGTTTTACACATTTTACTAGTACAATTTTATCTTATTTTTAGTTCATGAGCTTTCGTGTGCTTTGTAGCATATATCACTATGATCATTGCAAAAAAAAATGAAAAACATACCCAGTTTGTTGTGCTTCTTTCTTAGAAAATGTGGACTCCTTGGGACGACCATAGCACTCGGACTGCACGCCTCGGGTTTAAACTGTGGCAGTGTGCTGAACTTCTGCTCAAAGTTTACCGTCTCCAGCACCCTGATAAGAATTAAGAAGGTTGCTTTAAAATATTTAAATTTCAATCAATGTGTACGTTTGGCAGAAAAAAGCGCTAGCAAGCGCTTACAAGCGCTGAAATAGTTTTCTGCCAGGACACGATTACTACTTCAGTAGCGCTGACACAATCCGCCATTTTGCTTATTTAATTTGTTTGTTTTGAAGTAGAGTTTATAAGTTGTTTTGTGCAATATTAGTTTTAAGTAATATAATAACGTGAATAAACATATACATGTTATTAAAAATTCATGATTAGTAAGTTTTTAATATGAATACTTTACAAACATATATTTAAATTAGGTTAGGTTCCCCGGTTAAAACTAACATCGTGTCCTGGAGGAAAATAGCTACTTACGATTTGACAGCGTTTACCGCTTACGATCGCCATTTTGCTTACAAGCGCTTGCTAGCGCTTTTTTCTGCCAAACGCACCCATTATGTATAATATTTATATTCAGTTAATCTACGAATATTCCTTTTCTTATCTTTTGCATTTCTTTAATTCTGCAGAATTAAAAAATTAAAGTCAAATAAAAATCTCTGTTTCTGATACTTTAAACGATATATTTTTACGAGATTTAACCTAATAAAATACAGCAAAAAAATAACTTTGTCAAAAAAACTTTGCACAGAATATAATTTCTAATATTTAATGCTAGAAATACCATAACGAATATTAAAAAAAATATAAAACCTTTTGACATATTAATTTGATTTAGTACAAATCGCAAGCACAGTTTAAAAACCTCCTTACAACTAGGAAACGAATGTACTTGTGCAGAGCAACGACGATGGGGGCGTTGCGGGGCAGGGGGTGGGCCGTGTGCCAGCGCACTTCACTGAGTCTGATAGACAATACATGCGGTTGACGCGAGCATATTTTATAGTACTTATTTACCTAATTTTAAGTACAGTTTTCGAATAATATAATATGTATAATGGTGAATTACTGTTAGTTTTTGAGTTACTAAGTAAAATTGAATTCAAACGACGGCCAGGGAAACATAAGCAATGTTACCCTCATTTGTTTTGTTGATAAAATTGTTTATCCGAATGTGAATACACTACAATAAACAATCTAAAACTAAAAACATCTATAAAAAGAAAGTGTCACGAAAATATTCGGCAGCGCAACACGTTGTGTAAATGTGGTTTATCTTGTAGTAATAAATAATGATCTTGTTCAATAAATATTTTTAAGTTATAATTATGTACACAGTGTTAATAAACAATCAGTAGCCTCCCTTCATAGATTTTCGTCACAACTCTTAGCATACACGATGGCCGCGTAAATACCTACGCGGGCGGCGACATCGCCTGACATCAAAGGCGTTTCATAACTTTAAGGTCTTTAAGCAACAAGTCGAAATTTGATTTTGGGGGATTTAAATGAAAAATGAACGAAAAAAAAACTTTGTTTAGGGTTCGTCTCGAAAACCTTTTATATTAAACCTTATAAGAGATATTTATGATATTTGGAAGAGATTCCATGGCCTCCTACTGTTATATCGTAAATTCTGTTACCGTTACAGCCTATGAAAAGCCGACTGCTGAATATAGACCTCCCTCCATAGATTGCCTAAAAGGGCTGGCAACCACAGTTTCTTTTTTAGTTGTTATTAGGAAGACTGCTGTCCATCTCTTGGTTTGTTTCCCGCTGTCGCCTCGTACGACACTCCAGGGACGATATGAAATAGTGGATATTCTTACACCGCCACTACACAGTATATACTCGATATAAAATAAACAGATAAAAAACAAGCCCGGGGTGTTCGATTCACGAATAAATGGCTCCTATTTAGCAGCTGTTGAGGGTTGAAGAAGGAAAAAGAAATTGTTGCGGAACTCACTTGTCGCGTCCGTCCTCATTGCCTTTCTTGAAGAGGCTCTTCTTGAGCGAGGGGCTGGGCAGGTTGTCGGCGTGCTTGGGCGAGGGCAGCGCGTCGCCATCGTGTGCGACGTGCGGCGCGTGGCTGCCGTGGCTCGCGTGCGCACCGTGCGTCGCCTCCGTGCTCTCCAACGTGCTCTCCCCTCGGCCTGTGGCCTCCCCACCATTTGAGCCTGTCGACGTGCCTGTAATCACACAACAACATATCATAATCACAACCCCAACCTACGCACAGATCAAAAAATCAAAAAATACAAAGATTTTCTTGCTAAAAAATTAAACTTCCTCCTTAGGGAGAAATCTGGTTTCAACCCAACTTACAACCTTAAAAATAGTTTAGATCTCATTTCCAAAATTAAAGATATTCGTATTCCACCTAAATCTATGTTGTTATCTTTAGACGTTGGTAGTCTTTTTACAAACGTCCCATCACCTGACTGTTTGCGTATACTCTCAGATCTCTTTGAAAAATGTCTACATCCCGGGGAAACAAATGATCTTCTTAACTTAACCTCTCTGTATGAAACAAAATTATTTCCGGTTTAATAACCGTTTCTATCTACAAAAAAGAAGGGGTTAGCTATGGAGTCCCCTCTAAGTCCACTTATGGCGGACATTTTCATGGATAATTTCGAAAAACAACATATAGTTGTTAACCAAAATATCTTATACTATTATCGATATGTAGACGACATAATTATTTGCTGGACTGGCATAAGAAGACAACTGGATGTTTTCCTTAATAAAATAGAGTCCACGAAAAAATTAAATTAAAGCTTGAATTGGAACAAGATTGCTCCCTTAATTTCCTTGACTTAACAATAACAAGAAAAGAGTCGTTGCATGTTTTTCAAATTTATCGAAAGTTAACTCATACCGACACGGTCATCCCCGCGTCATCGCTTTTTATTGTTACATTAACCGTCTGTTCACTGTTCTATTAAGTAAAGAAAATTATTTAAAAGAACTTAATATAGTTTATCAAATTGCAGTCTCTATCGGTTTTTCAAAAAATCTCATTAATAATCTTATTAAAAAGAAACAAAAGCATGTTGTTCGCAATTCTTTGTACACGGTTCGATCTCAAAGTGTCCGGCGATATGTGGGTAGTTTGACCTACTTAGGCTCCATATCGGAAAAAATAGCTAATACTCTTAGAAAAAACAGCATTAACGTGGCATTCAAAACAAACAATTCACTTAGCAATATTTGTAATAATAAAGATAAGTTAAATATTAGTCAAAAATCGGGTGTTTATAAACTTGTTTGTGACGAATGCCACGCCGTTTACGTGGGTCAGACTGGTCGCAATTTCGGGACGCGCTATAAAGAGCTTTTGGCCGCGTACAGAAATTGTAATCCTGATAAATCCCATTTTGCTAAACATCTCTTGGACACTGAACACAACCTAGCCAGTGACTATTTCTTTGAAGTCTTACATACTTATTACTAGCCCCTTATTACAAGGGCTGCGACTGTGTGTGCTGGAACAGTTGGAGATTTTAAAAAATAATAATGGTAGCAATGCACTGCTGAATGAACAAACAAATGTTTCTAATTCACCTTTGTTAAACATCTTTAAGGCTAATCTTTAATAATAATTTTAAAATTAATAATAATAAATAACTATAATAATATCAATATATAAAAAACAACAATAATAATAATATTTAAAAAATATTAATCATAATAATTAGTCGCAGGTTTGTTATCGCGCGGCGCGGTCACTCGCTACTTTGGTGGGCGAGTGGTTGTGTCGGCGTGTATAAATAGCAGCTGTTTCGGCTCGCCGCTCTGCGCCCTCCTTTCTGCCAAGGAGGGTCGCGTTCGTATACGGCTTAGAGATCTCTCGTCAGATCGGTAAGCCAATCCATAAAGGCGGTGTTTAGTGGGTAAAAGTCTCCACAGCCGGCTGCGTGGTATGCTATGAGCATTCACCGCCTCCCTCCCCCGCTTTCCGGAGGGTTGCCCATATTTGCTTCGGGCGCAAAAAAAAAACTCGCCGCTCACTTAGCGGTCAGTCGCCGTAGAGTCTACATTACCTGAGGATGCCTCGTGTAGAGGCGAAACACGTGTCGTATTGTCGTCGATGGTGTGTCTTACCTGGAATAGTGGTGCTGGAAGTAGTGGACTAGTGGTGACGGAGTTAGTGCATGCAATTGAGGGAGGGCGGGAAGAGCTCTTCAATCCAGGCAAGACACATATCATTGTAATTAGTTAACGGAAGGTTGCAAAGTAATAAATTATTTATTGTAATGGATTTCCGCAAAGTAACGCCTGATTCTATTAATATACAATAATGTTTAAAAAGTAAAAATACTTTATGTACAACAAAGTAATCTTTAAAGTCCGATCCGAGTTCGTGAAAGCGACTCACAAGTTCTTTTGGGAAATTGAAAAGGCTAGACGTTACCATCATACGAAATAAAGATGTAGTTAAAAATGTTTTCATTGTATACTACAGCCAATGTGAAGCGATACCAAATGTAAATAAAACCAATGCAAGGTTAGATTACATATTTAAGTAGACATTATAGTTTTAAAAAATGTATAGCAAACCAAAAAAAAATAGACTTTTAATAAATTTTGTCATAATTTGAATTATTGTATAATGCTGTTCTGCGCCATCTCTTTTCAGTATGGGTATTTATCATTAGGCCAAGTTTCTTTAACATATTTGTAGGTATTAATAACCATATTTTTTTTTCATTCACAGTAAAACTAGTCGCCTAAAATTAAATTATTGATATCATACTTTATTAGCATTTTAATATTAGAAAAGTTTTTTTTCAGTTGCTGTTTTTTAAATAACTTAGATGAAGAGAACTTTAAAGTACACTCCGAACCAAGAAGTTTTAATTAAAACTACTAAACAACATTCATATATATATCCTATTCCTATACATACTTTTGGACGTTTCTTTTTCGGAGAAGTAAAATCTGTTGATTTATCTCTCGACGTACTTGCTTGTGGCTCCATCATTAACCACTCTTAATAAAAAAACAATTAGCAACAAAACAAAATAACAATAATTAAATAAATAACAATTACTAAAATGGCCTCCCGAATTTTGGCGAACCTATCTTGACCCTGATATGTTTTTGCCGGGAAAACGAGAGAGAAAGAGATAGATAATAGATTGTCAACTCCACAGTCGTTTTTAAGGTAAATGAACTTTCGTATCGCTGCTAGTTGGCCGTACTATATACATTTAACATTTTCTTAACTAATATACTTAATTAATTTAATTAAAATATCAAAATGTAAATCCATAGAGTTAATATACTACTGCGTATGGGCCGGTTCATTGAACAAACAAAACGGCACCGACTCCTTGGTGCGAAAATGTTTATGGAGCACCAACGCGAGCATCAACACGTGCCGTGCGTCCGTGCAGTATTTTCACTTTTAGATATTTTGCACTATTTTAGAGTAAAACTAGTAATATAGGTAGGGCTTTAGGCGTTTCTTCAAGTTGACAGGGTTTTGGATAATTTGGGGTAAAATCGAACTCCAGATAACCCTGTTTTTTATACCCACCCAATGTAATTTTTTTAAAGATTCATCGAAGGAGATAGTTTCAAAAGAGCTAGGAAAGTGTACAATGAAAAAGTGTTTCATTCTGTATAACAGAACAACGGTATGATATTTTACTTAGTTACATAATCGTTATTCATATGATACTGTTATTATAATTTGGAAATGAAAATGTTTTCTTCATCACAAGCTCATGATTTTTACTGGTGAAATGATATTCAAATCTTGTACTGATGTTGTTCTTTAAAATTAGGTGCAATGAATAACGCCATTTTTTTACGATAATTTAGGATTTATAAGGGAGTATTTCTACAGCTTCTAGGGTAAAACCAAAATCATAAGTAGAAATACTGGATCAGTGGTAGTTTATGAGTGTTTAAGAGATGGCGCTGATTTATACTATGCTTAAACCGTGAAAAAATTTTGTTCTCACGGTCAAATCTAGTAATTTATATCGATGTTCAAATATCAAAACCATAGTATGTTATATATTTACCTCGACTTAATCTCTTTTGGAGAGGAGCCCTACCAAGTTGCGCAGGGGTAGGGGCCAGTGGGAATGGACGTGTTTCTTCTACAGGAGTTTCCCATTGCCTGTAATTAAAACACATTATATTGTAAATTTATCTAATAACGATACTTAATTTTTTTAAATATAAAACCGCATGATTCCTACAAACACTTGATAATACTTACGTATTAGTTTTAGACACCGTATGGTTACTTTGAGACACTATCACAGACTGACCACTTTGCACGTTTTGATTTTGATTCTTGTTGGGGTCGACTTCTGTAAAAAAAAATATATAAATATGTTAAAAATATAATTCGTAGTACAAAAGCACTCGACAAGAAACATTACTGACCGGCTTCAAAGGAAGGCACGTACAATCTTTGCAACTGCACGTATGTGAAGAGGTTGCCTGATGCGTCGACCGATAATGTTATCGGTCCAGCTGCACAATAATTTTATAATAAATACAATTACATCAGTAATATCTATTATTTGAGCGAAAGCACAAGATAGATATAGAATGCTCGCTCCCACAATCCTTATTTTTAATAACCGACAACTTAACTACAGTTCAATAAAATATAAGCAAATTTTTTAAAATATATGTAAATTAAAGAATTTTAGTCTCGAACCACTACGACCTGTTAATACACAGCCAAAATTCAAAATTATTATTTATAGAATTTTCTTTAGTTATTATTAATACATGTAATACTGAGAAATCCTCTAGGAACGCTGGGAGAGACTAACCCAATCAATTATAACTCATAAGCTTCTTGACAGTTTATTTTCGAAAAGTAATCTGATACCATCAGATGCCTCATACTATTTTGAACCAAAAAGATAGTAATTTACTATTTTTTTGGTATTGGCTTCCGTTTCCCTTTTTTTATAGGATAGGGTGACAAACGAGCACACAGTCCACCTGATGGTAAGTGGTTGCTGCGGCCCGCAGACATCTACATCTATCCTCGATTATGAATCAAAGTGCAGATGCGTTGTCACTCGTGAGGACTAAGATGGAATGCCTCGTTTCTAGTAAAAAGGGTCTCCGGTTTTCTACACACTCATCATACGAAACACAGCAGCATTAAGCTACTATTTTACGCTGGTATTCTGTGAGAGCGTGGTCCTTCCCCGGTCAAGCCGACCCATTCTGGCTACAACTATACTACTAATATAACTGCAGCATGGCTCTACCATGTATATACCCTTCAACAAAGCTTGGCACGTAAGCATTTTGTGCAAGCTTTCAGAGTAAGACTTATGCCCTGGTCTTATTGACTATGTGAAGGACTCTGAGTGAACGGTATTTCATTGTCGTCTGGTTTCTGATGATAGCCTTTTAATTTTCACAGCTTCATCCGTCTCAGGACCCCGGGCTGTAAAATTGTGAATTTAAATTGTTCTGCATCGTTACTTCACACCGAGGCAACTTCTACAATTGTATAAAGCGCATGGAGTAATGTTACCATGAATGGGCTTGTGCTGTAAAAGGCCACTTAGGAGCGTTGGGCTCAGTAGTGACGTGAGCTTAAAGGCTTATGGTAACCTTGGTGTCGTTGAAACCAATTTTTTAACCTTGAAGACAGGCGCAGAATTTCAATTATTTTTTTCATCAAATGTAAATAAATGTTCAAATATCAAAAATTGTAATCAATTTTATCGAAAATCATAGATATCGTAGAGTCAACTCCAACAAATAATGTCGTGGATATAGTCGTAAATGTTGCAATAGTATGATGCTGTAGTCTTGTGAGATAGTGGATATAGTGGTGTAAATAATGGATTCACAAAGAAAACAAACTATATTTTGATAGAAACTTACCAGTAGCGGTATCTCCAATATTCCTCTTCACCAGTGTAACACTTTTGAGCAATGCGTTGCTTAAAGCCGTCGACGTTGGCGTTTGGCTCATCGATTGACTGGGAATCGATATCCCGCTTGATATCACCTGCACACCACTAGTGGAGGTGGGCGAGTTCATTATCGACGCTATCGCGTTGTCCAGCGCAGCCTGTGTCGATAGATTGGGAGTGTTGAGCGATATGCCCTGGACACTGTTGGTCAAGTTCTGGGTACTGGTCATGGTTTGCACTGGATGCGGTGAGCTGGGCACTTGGTTGGGTAGGCTCGTTTTGTTGACGGTCGTAAACGCTGTCCATTGTCTGTGGTTGTCGCCTGCAATTAACAAAACACATTATAATATACTTTGTCAATTTTAACAGATTCATTCCCGTATTTAGGGTATGTTCCAAAATAGAACCCAGTGTACTGTCCAATGCAAATGACGTCATGATTCGACGCTATACTGGATATTCGTTCCAAAACATAGGACAGTATATGACGTCATACATTTACGCCATATTGACGTTTATTTTGTCATTTTGTGCTCCAAAATTCATAATATCCTCCTAATGGAGATACCAGCAATTATTGTATAATTTTTTGTATTTAAATAAATAAAAATAAATTCTGGCATGCTTCATTCATTACTATGGCCGGATATCCGACACAATATGGCGGCGGCACGCCAGTAGAATATAGTGTCAATTGATGACGTCATTTGTATTCGGCAGTATACTCAAAACGTTTCGGAACATACCATTAATTTTTATAACTGATACATTTACCATCTGCAAGTCAAAGATTAATATACATACAGTTTTAAAATAAATGCGAGAAATTATGCTTTGAAAATGAATGAATTTTACTGTTGTAATAATAAAGGAAAAATTGTGTGTAAATAAATTTAATTCTTCTGTTATACTTTTTTAATCTATTTGATTTATATATAAAGGGAACACAGACTAAAATTAAATTAATTTTGTAGGTAAAATTTCATCAATACCTGTTCACACTTAGTAAGATATTTAATAAATATTTCATCAACATACTTGTGTCTACGTGCGTAGATTTGAACGCCCCACCTGTGGGCTGGAATACTTTGGAGCCACCGGGACTGGAAGCCGTGATGCCACCCAGCAGGTTATCCGACGAACCGGCCCTAAGGATACTGATTACGATTAATTTAATATATTTTATGAATATTTAGGAGTAATAATTAGTTGATTATTTGATATTAGATAAAAATAATAGCCAAAGCTTCCGACCGTATAACGGATGATTGATTTTTAGTTTACTTGTATCATCGATACAATGAAACCGGAACACATTCTCATTCATTAAAAATTACGTCTAGTGTGGGAAGGATAAGAAAAATAAGTGTCCCTGCCAATTTTTCTTTATATATGTTTGCTAAGTGATGGCAATGGATTTGCCTGGTGATCACGGGATGTTTTCATCTCCCTTAGGTGTAGTAATAGACTATGACTAGAAATGTTGAAAAGATCGTATGGCTTTCAATACATAGCGGTATAATCACCTTATTTACGTCAGGAGTAAAATAACTTGACCTGCGACTGGAAGCAGCATTAAAGGTGGGAGACGTATAGTAGTGCCATAGTTAATCCGGCCTGCAAAGCGTAATGATTAAGGCAAATGCGCCAAAAAAACGGGAGAGTGTAATGTCCAACAGATGACTGTTACAGGCTGATGAAAAATATGAACACATAAAACAATATTACAAGTGTTTCTTAAATAAAATAAACCATTCATAGTTTCTGTTGTATAAACTTAAACTTTATCAATAGCAAAGGGAACATGCCGTCTCTGAGTTACAAGTTAATCGCTTAGCCTCTGGGCTAGCACGGCAATCATATGCCACATTTACACTTAGCCACTGCCACTACTCCTGTCGCTGTTGGAAATATTTCCCTAAATACTTCTGCGGCAATAACGACGCGAGTGGGTGTTCACACTCAGCCTTCATACTTGTTGATGCGACAGCGTTATGTTTGCTCAGTATAAGTAACTATTTAAGTTTATTAAAAAGGAATAAAAGACACCGTCGTCAAAGAAAGTGGTGGATATGGGAAATTCATCGCAACAGTACGACGTAAGTATTATTACAAATTATTTATGTGCATAAATATTTGAATAGTATGAATGAAACACTTCAGCGGCAAGTTAGCGTGAATGTAAACACTCGCTGGCGCTCGCGCTGCCCGTCCTTTGACTTCCGCGCAATAAATCGATAATCGAGGAAGCGCCGGGGCATGGCAGCGGCATGGCAGTGAAAGCGCGAGAAATCTATTTACTGCCTGTACGGTTAAAGAATGGGATTGAAAATGGCGCCGCCTCTATTCACCTCTCGCTCGCACACTGTCGCTATCTATACTCACACCCGCCGGTAAAGACTGCAAAAAATTATGTTGCGGTATGCGTTTTCGTACGTTCTATAACTTCAATTCAACTTGTTATTGAAATTAATAATAACAAAATGCCATAAACCATAAAAAATCAGTTCAGTTTTGCTAATTTATGAGCAACGACGTGTTCTGAGTTTTCTTCATAATTTAATCATATTTAAATAACATGCCATGAGAAATAAAATACCAAGATAAAATAAATGCACTTTAATGATTGTCTTAGGTGTAAATAACGCCAGATTATTAGAAACCACCCAGACGAAGCTAGAGCGGGTCGCAAGTTATAAATTTATTTTAAAACTTAATGTAGCCACTTGCATGTAGTATTTTTCAAATATTTTCTCATTAATAGAAAAATTCCAATTAACCGAATAATATAAGTTTATAACGATAATCATTATTAGCTGGTTTTCGCTATTGGTACTGTACATGTTGACGCTATTGGTACTGTACTAGCTCTATGAGCCGCCATTTCTAATCCCACTTGTAATCCATATTGAATAAAAAAGTTTCTGTTTCTGTTCCTATCCGTACAGGTTATACATACACGCGCTGCCCACTTCCTTGCTCACTTGCCTGCTCAACAAGGCTGAGTGTAAATGTGACAATAGTGTATCAGCTATTCAATTTTTTTATAGGATTGGGGGACAAACGAGCACATAATTTACCTGATGGTAAGTGGTTGCTGTGGCCCATAGACATATACATCTATCCTCGATTACGAATCAAAATGCAGATGCGTTGTCACCCGTGAGGACTAAGATGGAATGCCTCGTTTCCAGTAAAAAGGGTCTCCGGTTCTCTACACTAACCATACGAAACACAGCAGCATTAAGTTACTATTTTACGCTGGTATTCTGTGAGAGCGTGGTCCTTCCCCGGTCGAGCCGACCCATTCGTGCTACAACTATACTTCTAATATAACTGCAGCATGGCTCTACCACGTAAAAAATATTAATTGGTACCTGGCCTTGATGGGCTTGGGACGGCGCGTGTGGTCGAGCTGCGGCACGTAGTCGCGCGCGTCCGGGCCCGCGCCCTCCGAGTCCGAGTCCGCCGCGCGCTCGCCGCACCGCAGCTCCACCGAGCCTGACCCTGGCCCGCCCTGCACGGACACCTCCTCCGACAAAGCTTGCCCCATCTAAAAACCCACGTACCGTAACCATAGCTTATACAAATTGAATTATACTTCACACATATGATATAACAATATTATTTAATTTTTGCTTTCTAAAGCTAGCTTGATCTAAAGTAAGCAATACTCCTATTGCTGTTTTAGACAGTCAAAAAAAAATTAAAAAAGTATTTATTCTTTAGGTTTTACTATACTATGAATAAATTTGTCACGTCAGATTTCTCTGACTCCTGTGATCTCTGGGGAACTGAATTGTAAACTAAACGATATAGATAATAAAAAAAATATTGATCTATAATTATGTGTTGTTAGTCGAAAAAAGGATAATAAAGAAAAAATGTTGATTAAGTTGTTAACCACTGTTACCATCAAGTAAAACCTACTTTTCATACTTTATAAACAAATAAAACGCCAAGCAAAGCTCGGTTGACCAGATACTATGTCTGAAACTAATATCATCATTAATAAATTTATACATCAAGTAATGTGGATTCCTTACTTTTATTAGTGACTCAAAATTTAATCAATTTTACAACTTAAGCTACATTAGATGCTATTATATAAATATTTGCATAAATATAAGTGTGTTTTACTACAAAATACTATAACGTCATTTACTAATATTTCCATACTAATTCCGCGGAATTTTGTTTTGTCATTAATAAATGTTTCAGTAAGGATATTCACGACTTTTTCACCCTTCAGGACTCTTCCAAAGTAACGTCACTTTGGATGGGGTAAAATATTTGACAGATTTCATAGCGGGGGAAGTTAATTTATTAAAAAAGTGTAAAGGTTAATATTTCTTTCTGAAATATTAATTATATTTTATAGTAATTAGTTTTTAATAAATATTTAACAGTTTTTAAAGTACATTATATTAATACACAAAACAACGCCTCAGTGGTTTGTTCTTTAATTTTTTTCACCATTTTAACTCTTTTTTTCTACTTTGAAGAATATCCCTATATTGGTTTATATTAAAAACTTTACTCCAGTCCCAACTAGTGACATCTGCTAAGCGGGAGATTATTGATAGAATCAGGCACAATCAGTTACTTTAGGGATATACATTGCAATAAAGATATATATATATATATATATATATATATATATATATATATATATATATATAAGCGGATGGTTGAGAATTAATTAATATCCTTATTTTAAGCGGGAGATTATTAAGTCTCGTTAATATGATTGTTTGTTTAACCCCTAAGATACCGTGGACATGTTGACAGGTCCAAGTTTTGTGACCGCTAAGTACCGAGGACATGTATACATGTCCGCATTACGTGCTGCTATTTTCGTCATTAATTGATATAAAAATACAGTATATTTTCGATTGAACACTATTTCATTCGATTCTGAACGAACTAAAGGATATTCTGTAGCATTATATTCATTCGGGTACACAGACATCATCAAATATAACAGCCATTCGCTTTTGCGTGCCGGTGAGGTTGGTTGCGTAATCGTTGAAGTTTTGTGATTGTGATTTTAGTTGGATTTTCTTTCAAAAAAACTGTAAGTAATGTTATTTATCTTTACTACTTAAGTTACCATTTGGTCGTCATCGCTGAGTTGCGGTGAGCCGACGTGGCTGTAGGCGGCGACGCTGAGCGGAAGGTCCGCGGCGCTGGCGGCGCTGGTGGCGCTGGCGGCGGCGCCACTGCTCGCTGCGTCCGAAGGCGTGCGAGGACTCTGTACACAATTCCTTGTTGTAAGATTAAACTAAGGACATACCAAGGGTAACAATCTCAAAAATCCATAGCAAAAGAGAAACAAAAAATTGACAGGTGTTGAAAATTATTAAAAGTTGCAGCCTATATTGTTTTAGGGAAATGAAAGGAGCATGTCCACTGCACTGCCTATGCGTGTTGTTTAACTTCACGCACTGATGCAGCAAGCGCCGCCCGCGCGCGCTGCGTGTAATCAACACCACGTCGGAGCGAACTGATTTGTTTTCATGTTCGCTGAGTGAGCTCAGTAAAGTGGCATGTCGTATTGTATCGTTGGCTACACTGTTGAATTATGGTGGTCACCCTGTAATGACTGTGTATGTTGTATGAGAGTGAAATAAAATAAAAATTAAAAACTTGAAAATAAGAATGTACAAGCAGGCTGTATGAGGAAGATGAAGGTCGTTCGAGACGGCTATGCTCAGGGTTTCTCTGCTTGATAGGATTCGTAACCGAGTTACCGACTTATTAGGAACTGTACTGTATATATTAAATATAAGCGATATATGGAGTGATGACCTGTTGAGACATGCAAAAAGTCGATGTAAGCATAGCTTAGGACCGTTCGAGATGATGAAAAGGCATACATAAATATACACAATACATATGATGGAGCTACGACACCAGGAAAACAGAATCAGTGTTAAGTTCACGAGAACAATTATCGTGAGTTTACAGTTATTAGTGATTGTGATGTTTATTAAAAAACTAAACGAAAACTTCAGGTTAATTGCATATGGAAGAAACCTACAAGTTTATATGATATAACAGAACAACGTTCGAAATAACTTACCTGCGGCATTGAGCCGGAAGGATCTCTACTACTCGAAGACTTTCTTCTGTCCTTGTTGCACCATTTCCACTCCGGATGGGCTTTAAAGTGCGCTTCTTTTACCTGACGAACATTGTAATATTATTATTACTAGTCTAGCAGTGACACCGCTCTAAATTTCTTTTTTATGTAATAATAAAGAAAAAAAAAGTAATAACGAAGTAGTTGGAATAATGTTATAATAAAATAGATTAAATAATTAAATCACATTTTTCCTTCTGAATTTTTATTTAGTTACTACATGTCTTATATTAATCTATCTGTTTTAAATACATTTTTTTTTGTTGAATAGACGTTAAAATATTAAAGGCATATCAATTGATTATACATACCTCGCTAGCAAGCTCATTATACTTTTGTTTCTCCTCGGGCTTTAATGAATACCACCACTCGCCAAGTATTTTGCTGACGGTTCGGTTGTCTTGATTTGGATGTCTCTGATGAACCATTTGCCGGTGTCGTTTAGAAAATATCATGAATGCATTCATTGGACGACGGATTCGACGTTCTTTCTGTAAATAAAAACATAATATTTCATAAATAAACTTTAAACTTATCTTTTCTCATTAAGAAAAATGTAGATTATTTATTACAATATATATTGGACTGGAAGGACCAAGAACTGTTTATATTTATAAAGCGATGATAATAATCAGAGTGGCAGTACAATAACAAAAAGGTATGTTTCTTTTAATTATTAAAATATGTAAAAATTAATATAATAGTAATATAATGCGTATATTAAAGAATACTAGTAGTAAAAAACAGGTTATAAATTCATTGAAATAAAAAAGTATTTTTTTAAAGAATATTAACAATGCTATAAACATTACTAATATTCCCTTTAACCACTCGTGGTAAGCTTAAATCGCTTGTGTTACGAGTGGTTCACGCCAGTAGTCGAATGGCGGATTCGAACCCACGACTTTTTAGAGTTCGCTGTCCGCGCCCTGCCATTAGACTACTGTCGCTTTATATTAACTCGAAGACGACGATATCTACGGGAATATGAATTATACTTTCAGATATATACTAACTAAAGGTTTTTCTTACCTTTTCAGGCCCAGACGATGTCTGGTTAAGAGACGAAAGGCTTTGCGAACGTCGCTTTGAGGCATCCTCACCTCCACCCGAGCCAGAGTCCTCGCACTCGAAAACTTCATCGTCCTCGTCGGCACACATGGATGTTACAGTCTCTGTTGAAATCATACACAATAAAACTGTAGCATATTACAAGGAAATTTTTATTAGATTTTATTAGCTCTATACTAGGTGACACTGAAAGTTCTTCGAAAATCAAAAACTGAAAAAACTAGCAATAGCAAGTTATTAGTTTTATTATATCCTTTCAAAATAGTGTCCATTTACATCAATACATCGCTGCATGCGATGGAACCACTGAGCAAAGTGAAAAGCACTTTGCCCACTCGTGCTTAGGTATCTCTTCGACGGCATTTCGAAACGCAGCCAGTGCTTCCTCGGTGTCCATAAAACGTTTTCCTCGATGTTTTCTTTTTATTTTCGGAAATAAATAAAAATCGCAAGGTGCGAGGTCGGGGCTATAGGGCGGCTATATAATTCCACGTCTGACGTCGCCAAGTAGTCGATTGTTTACTTGGCGGTTTGCGACAAGGCGTTGTCGTGGTGAAGGAGGATCCTACTGCGAGGTCGTTTCTCTCCCGAACTTTTTCCAAGACAAGTGTATCGTTCTGCAGGTAACTGTTTGTTGATACTCTAAAACAATTGTTGCGTAATGACCTGTCCTTTCAAAGAACGAGGCCACCATCTTTTTCCCACGCTTCGACCTATCTTCACTTTAGTTCGCAACACCCAGACATCAAGCTTGTCCGAATCTGCTGATAAGTCACTCTTTTGTCAGTCTCTATCATACGCCGCACAACACTGATGTTATTTTCAGTCGTCGCCGTAGAAGGCCGTCCCTTATGCAGATCCCCGGTGAGATTAGTGCGACCACGTTTAAACTCATTATACCAGTTGTAAACAGTGGCAGGAGGTGAGGCTTCATCATGAAAGGCGAATCGAAGTCTATCATAACTTTCTTGTTCACTTAACATCGAGTCATAAAAAATCATTGTTCGAAAATTTTCTCACGTTAAATTCATGCTGATACAGATAATTTTCAATTTGCCGCCAAATCGTAATCAAATGACAAATACACAATAATATCGACAAAGAGTTCCATTTTCAAAATTTGAACCAATTTATTTATCATATCGTTTACAGGTGGCCAGTTCCAAAAACAGTTCAGTGTCGCTCTCCTAACATTGATTACCGTGTATGATGAATCATCGTAATAGCTTCACAAGGGTTTGGAGAAAAGCCTCCTCAAGACAAATTGAGTTAACAATACAGCATTACGGGAGTCATGGTCACGGCACATTCGAAGATTCCAAGATTATTTATCACCCCTGAAGACGACTATCTTATGAATTTAATCACTAGTGGTTAGAAAGCTATGTGGTCTACTTGTTCCTTAGGAGGCCGGCCATCCATAAGATAATCCAAAAACGTGCTAAGAGCATATTGGTAAAGAAATCGACCAGAGGCAAATCTTCATACAGCCGCTCTATGATAGGTACACTACTTACAAGCTTGCGGCGCGTGTGTACAAGTAAGCACTGACAGCTTGTCATGTACAAAGAGAAACTGCTTTAAAAAGGCTCGGCCAGTGCTCGAACTAGTTTTTATTTCACGTTTTGATTTAATAATAGCAAATGAGTAAAGAATAATAACTGTTATGTTATAATAGAAACAAGTGAAAATATGGTTTACTGTTCTGCGTATGAACAATAATAGAATGTATATGTACAATGTAAAATTATTAATAATTATTAATAGTTTATGCAATAATGTTGTGACTTGTTCAAAGCAAATAAAATTAATAAAAATATATAATTTTTTCATTATCCAAAATACTCCACTAGATAATTAATACTTGATTATTATTTATTATTTTTAAGTTGACTAACGTTTTGATTTCTTATATTTACGCGAATATTTCACATGGAATAAAACTAATTTTACGGATTCTATCGCGTTAACGATAACTGATAACGTTTTGTTTATTTAATATTATCCTCCTGTGTCAAAAACTCTACCAAAATAGGTAAAATTTTGAACGCTCCTCAGAAGCTCTGCCTCTGTAAAGTTTCTTTACTTACGTGCAAGAGTAAATTGTGTGTGTCGGGGGAATCTTACAAATTCTTTTCAAAATTCAATATCATCTGTAGGTGTGCGAACAAGCAACAAATGGCAAATAACAAACGGTTAGTCATTTATTCAATTATTCTAAATCTTAATTCCCGGGGTGTTGATGAGAATCAGCATTACCACTTACTAGTGCAAGAATATCAACTCTACAAACAGTAACTCGATCAGCATAATGATTGTGAACAATTCCTTCAAGGAAATCTAGTGGTGGATTCATGTCTGTTAACAATGAAAAATGAAAGAAGAAAGACTCAAAGAGAAGAAGATTAAGAACTCACCACTGATTCAAACTACTTTTACGGATTTTATCGCGTTTATTTATGTTATTTTTAATACCCGACGTTACGGGTGCTTTCCAGCACCCATGGTCACGGGGGACTGAGATGACTGACATCAGTCAGTCAGTCAAAAATAACATAAATAAACGCGAGCTAAAATCCGTAAAAGTAGTTTGAATCAATGTGTAGTGTTCGCGTAAATATAAGAAATCATTATGTAAACTCACCACTGCTCTCGGACTTGATCTGTTCCTCGGTCTTGAGGTGCGGCGTGTGCGGCGTGTGCGGTGTGTGCGGCGTGTGGGGGGTGTGCGGCGTGCGCGGCGTGCGGGGCGTGCGCGGGGAGGCGGGCGCCTGCGCGGGGGGCGGGGACGCTGCCTTCAGCAGGGGCACCAGCGACTGCCACGGGAACACGCTGCCCGATACGCCGCTCGTTGACACTGTGGATGATGCACATTTTTGTACTCTACTGCCCCAGAAACGGGATGATTTTTTGGTACGCTCTGTAGCCTTAATGCTGGTATGTAACGACTTGGTGGAGTATAATATATTGGTGACATAGGATATATTTTTTTCTCTTTTCAGTAAACCTTTTTATGCAGATGGTTTTTTTTTTAATTTATGTTTTAACTATTATGCTTGTTACATACAATAGTTTTGTTTTCAAGTCTAGTTGTGCTATAGATTCAAATGAACCTTCAAACTTATAACAACAGTATTACAATGGTAGGGACAGTGCAGGATGCGTATGTCTATATTTAACTATAATAGAAATAGAAACTTTTTTTATTCAATGTAGATTATAAAAATACTTATTGAAAGTCACTTTTTTTAATTTACCACTGGTTCGCAAAAAAAACCTCTGTCCTGGGAAGAACCAGCAAGAAACCCAGCGGGACTATTTTTTTTAATAATAGCTTACAATCATGTTTACAATCACCGTGTAGTGGCGGTTAAGAATATCCACTACCCCATATCTTCCCGTGGGTGTCGTAAGAGGCGACAGAGGGAGACAGGCAGGAGATGGGCAGCAGCGTCTTCCTGATGACAACTGTGACGTAATAAAAAACTGCGGTTGCCAACCCACTCGCCAAGCGTGGCAACTATGGCAAATACACCCCAATGAATAAATACACAAACAGACGGCCCCCAGTCCCCGGCGGCCCCGCTATTCCTGGCTACGGTGGCGACCATGGTAACGGCGGGGCAGGGGGTGCTAAGAATCTCCGGTGGAGGTTCGGTTGCCACCTACGACGACTCGACCTGGCAACATATAACGCACGCACCCTGAGGACTGACGAGAAGATACTGGAGCTGGAAGAAGAGGTAGACAAGTTGCGCTGGCATATTATTGGATTATCCGAGGTCCGAAGAGAGGGGGAGGACACGGCAATCCTCGAGTCCGGCAACTTGTTCTATCACCGGGAGGGCGACCATCTGTCCCAAGGAGGTGTCGGATTTATCGTCCACAAATCTCTCGTCAACAACGTTGTAAAGATTGGGAGTGTGTCGACGAGGGTCGCGTACCTGATACTCAGAATCACCAAACGGTATTCGCTGAAGGTCATTCAGGTTTACGCACCAACCTCGGCACATCCCGATGAGGAGGTCGAGGAAATGTATGAGGATATTTCCAGAGCCATACATTCCTCCAAAACCTACTACACGGTGTTGATGGGAGACTTCAACGCAAAACTGGGCACAAGAGAAAGCGGTGAGCTGAAGGTAGGGAAATTTGGAGTAGGGCAACGGAACCGAAGGGGCCAGCAGCTGGCCGACTTTATGGAGAAAGAGGGACTCTTTATGATGAACTCTTTCTTCCAGAAGCGGCCCCACAGGAAGTGGACCTGGTCGAGCCCCGACGGTTCGACAAAAAATGAGATTGACTTCATTATGACGACCAGACGCCAACTGTTCAGTGATGTCTCAGTGATCGCAAGGGTGAAAACTGGCAGCGATCACCGAATGGTTAGAGGCACACTGAACCTAAACGTAAAGTTGGAGAGGTCTCGTCTAATGAAGTCAACGCTCCGTCCCCCCTCGTGCTCTAATCCAGAATCCCGAAACCTTTCAGCTCGAGTTACGTAACCGCTTCCAGTGCCTAGAAGATTGCAATGCAGTGGACGATATGAACGACAAGCTCGTGGAAACTGTCCATGCGGTCGGAGCTAAGTTCTGCAAGACCCGCCGCAGAAGAACACAAAAACTCTCCGATCACACTCTTAATCTCATGGCTGTTAGACGGGAGATGAGGCTGCAATCGTCAACAGATTTGACAGCATACAGGCAACTGAACAGACAGATCTCCAAATGCATACGGCGAGACTTACGCAACTTTAATACTTCTCGTATTAAAGAAGCGATCGAGCGGAACCAGGGCTCCAAAGTCTTTGCCAGAGATCTGTCTGCCAGAAAGAGCCAACTGTCAAGGCTGAAGACTGAGTGTGGCAACATCGTTTCCGGGACACCTGAGATTTTGAGTGAGATTGAGAGGTTCTATGGGCAGCTGTACACATCATCGTTGGAGCCACACGCAAGTGTGAGTAACGATCCAAGAGCAAGTCTTATCCGACACTATTCCGATGATATCCCGGACGTCAGTCTAAGCGAGATTAGAATGGCTCTCCAGCACCTTAAAAACGGCAGGGCCCCAGGCGAGGATGGAATTACAGCGGAGCTTCTGAAAGCGGGTGGAACACCGGTACTTGAAGTCCTTCAGAAGCTCTTCAATTCCGTCCTCCATGGTGGCACTACTCCAGAGGCGTGGAGCAGAAGTGCGGTGGTCTTGTTCTTTAAGAAAGGCGACAACGCTCTCTTAAAGAACTACAGACCGATTTCCCTTCTGAGCCGCGTCTACGTGCTGTTTTCGAGAGTCATTACGAATCGTCTCGCACGCAGACTTGACGACTTCCAGCCTCCCGAACAAGCCGGTTTCCGAAAAGGCTTCAGTACCATAGACCACATACATACCCTGCGGCAGATTGTACAGAAGACTGAAGAGTACAATCTGCCACTTTGCCTGGCGTATGTGGACTATGAGAAAGCCTTTGATTCCGTCGAAATTTGGGCGGTGCTACAGTCCCTTCAGCGGTGCCAAGTTGACTGTCGGTATATCGAAGTGCTGAAGTGTTTGTACAGTAGGGCTACGATGGCTATCCGAGTACAGAACCAGAGCTCGAAACCTATCCAACTGCAGAGAGGTGTAAGACAGGGTGACGTTATATCCCCGAAACTCTTCACCGCTGCATTGGAAGACGTTTTCAAGCTACTGGACTGGAAAGGATACGGTATTGACATCAATGGCGAGTACATCACTCACCTTCGATTTGCCGACGATATAGTCCTTATGGCAGAATCGCTGGAGGACTTAAGCACTATGCTCAATGACCTCAATAGTGCCTCCCAACGGATAGGTCTTAAGATGAACATGGACAAAACAAAGATCATGTTCAATGTCCATGTCACACCTATGCCGGTAGTTGTTGGGAGCACTATGCTCGAAGTTGTTGACGAATACGTTTACCTGGGACAAATAGTCCGACTAGGTAAGTCCAACTTCGACCGAGAGGTCAATCGACAGATTCAACTCGGCTGGGCAGCGTTCGGGAAATTACGGCATATCTTTTCGTCAGGTATACCTCAATCTCTAAAAACTAGATTGTACAACCAGTGCGTGTTGCCAGTGATGACTTACGGATCTGAGACGTGGTCCTTCACTGCTGGCCGTATGAGGACGCTTAAGGTCGCTCAGCGAGCTATGGAGAGGGCTATGCTCGGAGTTTCTCTGCGTGATAGACTCAGAAATGAGGATATCCGCAGTAAAACCAGAGTGACCGACATAGCCCAACGGATTAGTAAGCTGAAGTGGCAATGGGCCGGCCATATAGCTCGAAGAACCGATAACCGATGGGGAAGAAAGGTTCTCGAGTGGCAGCCTCGTACCGGTAGGCGTAGTGTAGGGCGACCCCCCACTAGATGGAGTGACGACCTGGTAAGACATGCAGGAAGTCGATGGATGCAGATGGCTCAGGACCGTGCTTTGTGGCATTACTTGGGGGAGGCCTATGTTCAGCAGTGGACTTGTGAAGGGCTGTAATGATAATGATGATGTTTACAATCAACAACACAAGACAAATTAGAAATAGCTTGGTAGCGATCACCCTTCCCAGGGGTTATTATCATCTATAAATTCCTTAATATTATAATAACCCTTTTTATACAAACTTAGTTTAATAACATTTTTGGACTTTGTGTACGACAAATTTTGTATATTTTCTGGGATTTTGTTGTAAAAGCGTATACATCGCCCCAAGAATGAATTACTGACTCGGTGGAGTCGAGTAACTGGTACTACCAGCTTGTGTCTGCTCCTAGTATTTACAGAATGAATATCACTTATTTTTGCAAAACTACTTTTATTTTTGTGTACGTACATTACATTTTCATAAATGTATTGAGAGGCCAGAGTTAATATATTAATTTCCTTAAATTTTTGTCTCAGTGACTCTTTTGATTTTAAATTATATATTGCTCTAATGGCCCTCTTCTGTAAAATAAATATAATTTCAGTGTCAGTCGCGTGTCCCCATAGCAAAATACCATACGACATAATGCTATGGAAATAACGAAAGTAAACTATTCTAGCTGTTTCAACATTGGTAAGAGTTCTAATCTTTTTTACAGCATATGCTGCAGAACTAAGTCTGCTAGCTAGTTTTGATATATGGGGGAGCCATTGAAGCTTTGCGTCCAGTGTGATTCCAAGAAAAATGGTGGTATCAACAAGACTCAGTTCCTCCCCATTTAAAATTTTTACAGCATATGCTGCAGAACTAAGTCTGCTAGCTAGTTTTGATATATGGGGGAGCCATTGAAGCTTTGCGTCCAGTGTGATTCCAAGAAAAATGGTGGTATCAACAAGACTCAGTTCCTCCCCATTTAAAATTACATTAGTATTGACATGTTTAACATTAGGAGTTACGAATTTCATACATTTAGTTTTAGTTCCATTCAAATGCAAATTATTAACATTAAACCAATTGACTAACTTAGCTATAGCATTATTTACTTCGTCGTAATTTACTATATACTAATATCTTCTACGCAGTTGATATAACCTATAACTTCCGGAAATATTCGATATTATTGTATGCAAATTTCTCACGATATTTTCCTTTACCGTCGAACACGTGGTAAATCAGCAAATTGCAATTAATATCTGCAGAGTTGCTCGCATTTTATATTCCTAAGCTACATGACAACAATCAAGTTAAGTACGATTTACGATGATTTTAGTACAGATAGTTTGGAAAAAGCTATTATTTGCCATTCTATATCAAATTTTATCATTCTTTAATACGCATAGGTTATAAAAAAAGTATATAGAAAAATGTAGATGCATAGAAAAGTATATAGAAGAATATAGAGTCACAAACGTAGAATTTTTCAATGAAAGTTGGGATATGGGTTCGATGTTTTTTTATAAAAGGCTAAGGACTTGAACGAATCAATCACTGGACCCGACATAAAACACAAATGTAAGAAAACTCGTTCAACCAAGTGGAGAATAACTCGCAAGAAGATTTTATCACGTTAATATAAACACAGATACGAAATTCGTAAAAGTTTACTCTATTTCTAGTACATGATCGTAGTCGATAAAATATATCGATGAACGAATGAAAAGGGATAATGAAGATGAGGTAAGATTCCGGTATTTAAATTTTAATTAAAATAAAAAAGCAGGACATTTTTATGGACTTTATTGAATTATAGTTATGATAAACGTCAAATGTTTTGTTAAGTTTAAATTATTTTAATAGGTTTACTGACTTTTATTATGTATCATCTTTCTTAAAATGTGTTTCTTAGAATTTGTTGTGTTCGCTTGTTTTCTTATATAAGCAATTCTAATGTTTAAATACTTTTCAGCAACGGCTTTCGTTAATTTTTCGACGTGATTCACGTCGTCGTTTTAAAATTTATGGAAATGAATGGTTTCGTACAACGGAAGTTGCAGCAATGTTTCTGTTACTTTCGGCAGAAGAAAGTCTATTGTGTAATCTTTTTTTAGTCTTTTATTCTGAACACTCTTCCTAAGTTCGAGTTCGCAGTGCTAACAAATAGCTATGGTATCACTTGAGGGAAGTATCAGTTTTTCCTTGTCTTTATGGGCAATGAAACTGCCTTCATTGGTGTCATTTTCTGTTTCTTTGCATTAGTATCGGTATAATAGTAATAGTACAGGCAGTATCGAAATGTACACTGCATATGGCGCTGTGTTTCGTCGGGATCCAGGTTTCATCTTTACGAACTTCTTCTACCCATTTTCTCTTCTAAGAAGGGTCACTGGGAAATCTGAAAATTCGTGCAATTTATGTGTTTAAATACTTTAAGTACAGTTACTAATTATAATTTTTGCATTTATAATATTTTTATTTAATTATAAAAATTATTATCATAAATATAATGACATCAGATTGTAGGATATTGTTATATGTATAAGTATTTTAAGTGTTATTGTATTGTACAAATAACATCATCATTCATTCGGTCATATCGTCACATATCGATATATTTTTCGACATGGTCAAGCAATAGTCGATGTCAAATGAACTCACTCCACAGTTTTAGTCACTCGTTCTGAATGGTATAATCCAGCCATTTAGTGATGGTTGTCAGATGTCAACAATACATAGAAATATCGACTATATTTAACATAGTTGGATAATACGAAATTTTATTTTACATTTGATTATTTTTTGTGATAAATAACCATAAATGTAATAAAATAATGTACTTACAAGTGAAAAGAAATAGTGCTGCTTCCGCCGCTATAGGTTTTACACCATTTAACTAAACATTTAGTAATTTTTGGGAGATGTTTTTAAAGTAAGTGCTTGAGACTGACGCAAAAATAAACGACCAAGGCTAGAATTTCCTGGTTACTGACAAGACCGGTATAGGTACGTCCGCTTATATTTCGGGTCCAATGGTTAATTCGTTCAAGGCTAAGGACCATACATAATTTAACCCTTCAATCCCATTGAAATTCCCAAGCAGTCGCATGCGCCTGGCAAATCCCGAGCGGTCGCATGCGACCGCACCCACCCACAGCACTTAAATCCATTAAAAATTATTTAGAGACCACTTTTCTATAAAGAAGTTTAGCATTATAAAATCTATACAAAATTCTCTATCCTATGGTGTAAACAAAAGTTAGGTTTCACATAATTACAAAAAGATTTTATTATATTTCGATTACAAAAAAAAACATACCAAGCGAATGTCGGCAGCGTTAAAATCACAATTATTTCAATATATATTACTCGAAATTATTTCCGTAAAAATTTAAATTATATTCACACAAAAACTTTCATTACTAGAAAAATCCTAAAATCAACACAATAACATTCACGCGAATATGGCGTACGAAATGAACGTAGATTATATAACAGTTTTTTTATTGCGCTAGAAGATAGAGTATTTCATATTAATTATATAATGCCAAACTTCTTCATAGAATTGTCTCTATATATATATAAGTTTTTATGGTTTAAAGTGCTGTGGGTGGGTGCGACCTCATGAGACCGCTAGGGATTTGACGGAATATGGCCGCGATCTCATGAGACCGCTAGGGGGTTGAGAGGTTAAATAAACTCACCGATGATAGCTGTGTGTGATGTTGGCGGTGGCAGCACTGGAAGCAGTTGGCTCGGGTGTACAATCACTGCGCTGTTGCTTACATTGTTTAACTGAAAACATGGTTACTGTTTAAGTTTTTTTTATTTTATTTATATAGTATAAAGGTGAAAAGAGAGCACACAGCCCACCTGATGGTAAGTGAATACTGTGGCCCATAGACATCTACATCTATCCTCAAATAATAATTCAAATGCAGATGCGTCGTCACCCATGAGGACTAAGATGGAATGCCTCATATCCAGTAAAAAGTGTGGCCGCTTCTTTACACTCACCATACGAAACACAGCAGCATGAAACTGTTATTTCGCGCTGGTATTCCGTGAGAGCGTGGTACTACCCCGGTCGAGCCGACCTATTCATGCTACAACCATAATATAGCTGCAGCGTGGCTCTATCACGTTAAAAGTGTAAGACAAAACAAAACCCAAATATACGAACTCATCCACCTGCTCAATTAAGAGGGCATATGCGTTTCGCGTCGAAAACTACATGATTTATGGTTTTTCCAAAGGCGATATCGTAACGACGTGAGGAGATTATTTGCTGAAAATTAGGGCTTTAGAAAGATAAAGTCTTTATTAAGTACATAGCAATGCAAAATCATAGTTTTTAATGACGGTTTTTTAGGGCGAAGACAATCCCTTCACAGCCTTTTAAGAAAATATGCATCAGAGTTATCTTTCAGGTTGAATACAACCATTATTATAAGCTAAAATACTTTATTTTAAGCGTTATTATAATGCAATGTATAGTCTTTTAGTGTACAGCAAAACCTAAATTACGAAAATATTTCGATTTAATATTATAAAATAATACTATAAAATCACCAAAACTGTCTACTTCAATGTAATTTTTTCCATGTATTTGGTTATAAACATATCTATTTTAATTATTTTTAAATAATTATACATGTAATGTTACTTATCCAAAAAAAAATTTAGCTCGTTTTATATTGTCAATTATTTTATATAATTATTTAAAAAAAACTACAAAACATCATACGCAGACGCCGTTCGATTCAGTACGCTCCGGGTAATCACAACGGCAGGACGTATTACTTTTTCTCACCGACACCACGCGCTCGCGTTGATCATAATATACTATACTACTATTAACTAGATACCTATAGCATTCTCCATCGAGCATTTTACCGATTGAGACTTTTATAAGCGATATTTTTGGTAGTAAGTAATTTTGAAATATGTTCATGATTGTAATATTTAAATATTAAATGATGAAATGGTGGCAAATTTTCATTTCATACATATTTTTTTTAGAAATGAGAAATGAACGTAAGCAATTCGGATCAAGTAAAAATACAAAATCGTTGGCTTTCACCTTTGGCTCCGTGGCGGAGTGACTTAGTAATGAGTTGTAGCGCTGAACGCCGCGGGTTCGAATCCCACATGGAACAAAAATTTGTATTACCTACAAATAATTGTTCCAGGTCTGGATGTTTGTCCTTGTGAAATTAATGTATTTAAACTGCCCCCACGATGTACTTAGGAAAAATTGTGGAGATAACGTTATGATTAAACAAAGACATGCCATCAAAAACATAACTTGTATAATAACCAAGTTTCGCAATGATGATACGGCCGTGCCGCTGTTTTGCTCGACTTGGCGGGGGCACTACCGTGCCCCCAGATATAAAACATATGAGCCGTGCTTGAGTTGAGTAGCTCAAGGGCGTAGTGCTCGCCGTAAACGCGAACAATCCGGGCTCGATCCCCGCTAGTGTTGCCATGTGTCCCGATTTGCGCGGGACGTCCCGATTTTCAAGGGTCTAGTAACACGTCTCGATTCACCCTTGATCGGGACGCCAAATGTCCCGATTTTCACTAACCTTCTTATTTTATACTTTAATCCATAATTTTGACAGCAAAAATGATTACATCTGTTAGCTACTACCACATTAAAATATTTTTACTACGACATTGTCTCACCAGTTGAAAAAAAACACAAAAGTTTTAAACAGAATTATATTAAAATGAGTGATTTGAAAAATTCAGGGTCTGCAAAAAAAATAGTTCAAAAATGTTTAAATGTTTTAAATGTTTTAATGAAAAAAAATCAGTTTTTACGATGTTTGGACGAAAAGTTATTCGTTTATGAGATCAGACCCGAATAATAATTATAAAGCATATTTACAGTGAGCGTTGACCATCTGAGCTACCACGGCTCTCAATAAAGCACAAAAAGGCTACAAAGAAGCCTATATTTTGTAGTCATTGTAGTTGTCGGAATATGAAAACCAAATCCCCGATTATTTTTACCTTCCGTCCCGAAATTTTACTTGCTAGACCTGGCAACACTAATCCCCGCCGACACTAATGAAATTGTTAGTTTGATGAATTATGTTTACATTATGAAACAGAATAAAGGTTTATCAAATGATATATATTTTATACAATACATATTTTTCAATTAGAACATATACATATTATAATATACTCAATAGGGTGAAAATGTAAAGACGACTTCAATTTACTAAAAGAATAAAACAATTTCCACATATTAGCCTCCGATTTCTATACACTATATAAGCCATTATATGGAAATTATTTTTTATTATTTTAGTTCCAATAGTATCAAAGACAGGTATATAATATAAGATCAAAGTGATTCGTGCAACTAAAGGCAACTATAATAGCCTCGCGCTCGCTCTGAAACGCACACAAAGATAACATTGTAGTGTACGTCAATATTACGCCGTTCCAAAGCGATCGCGTAGATTTCGACTTGGACATATTTAAATATGCGCTCTTAACTCTCCTTCTATTCTTATTTCACATACCGTTTTGCTTTCTTCTCTTTCAAAAACCATAACTTTCGTCTTACTTGCGTTCACTTTCATTCCCCTTTCTTTTAATGACATGTTCATTAATGTAAATATAATCAATCAACATAAAAGAACTGTTTCAGATTAAATTTATATAAAATATTGTATGTTACATACATTAGTAATAATGTAGAAATCAAATTTGGAATAGATATGACTCACATGATCACCGTTGTCAAGGCCTCCTCTGGACTCTGTCTCCTGGTCACTGTTGCTCATCTGTAACAGCTGATGAGATTTCGGTTCTAACTATAAATAGTATATAAATATAATATATTACTACCTATATATAAATACTAACTATAAATGGTATATAATATAAAAAGTAATTACAGTAATACGTAGTACACTCGTCATATTATATCGACTTTTTCACACCAAATTAATCACTACTTATTGTCGACGCGAGATAGTCGACAGTCGACCCTATTGCATTTCTTATAAGGCGCTTAATATTATGTTATTGTATAGAGTCATACACCAACCGTACATTCAACCAATCACGCTACACAAAGACTCACCACATCACTCCCCACACCCGACACTCACATTCGTTCTCACATTTGTCGAGCCTATTGCATTTCTTATAAGGCGCTTAATATTATGTTATTGTATAGAGTCATACACCAACCGTACATTCAACCAATCACGCTACACAAAGACTCACCACATCACTCTCCACACCCGACACTCACATTCGTTCTCACATTTGTCGAGCCTATTGCATTTCTTATAAGGCGCTTAATATTATGTTATTGTATAGAGTCATACACCAACCGTACATTCAACCAATCACGCTACACAAAGACTCACCACATCACTCCCCACACCCGACACTCACATTCGTCCTCACATTTGTCGAGCCTATTGCATTTCTTATAAGGCGCTTAATATTATGTTATTGTATAGAGTCATACACCAACCGTACATTCAACCAATCACGCTACACAAAGACTCACCACATCACTCCCCACCACCCGACACTCACATTCGTTCTCACATTTGTCGAGCCTATTGCATTTCTTATAAGGCGCTTAATATTATGTTATTGTATAGAGTCATACACCAACCGTACATTCAACCAATCACGCTACACAAAGACTCACCACATCACTCCCCACACCCGACACTCACGTTCGTTCTCACATTTCCATTCTATGTAACTTCTGAACACGCAAGACACAAGCACAATACCAAGAAATAATATAATTAATAAAACTGTAAATTCAAGCTAATAAATCTTTGAGAATATACTACGATAGATACGATATCTTTCTTTTGTTCATCCCGAACACTTATAGTTAAGGTAAAATCACAAAAAAAGAGCAGTCATCTAAAAATCACATACTTGATGACAATTTATTTGTCGATAAAAATATAAGCCACACTAGAGTCTTAGAACAGCGCCATAATATACAATTCCTGGGTATTTTTAAAGGTGCCTTTTCTAAAAGGCAGAGATAAATAGTCGATATTAAGAATGCATCTTAGCTCAAGTACTTGTTTAGCAACGGCATTATGTACGATTCGGACTTGACAGAGGGGTAACATGCATCGAAGGGCATCTACAATGCAATATAAAAAATGGTTAAGAAGACTCATCGAAAATAAACGCTTAAAATGGCTCCGCCTATTCAACCCCGCGCCCGATAGCGACACTCGTCACTCGATTCCTAAAATTTCAAACTCGCGCCAAATGCTCAATCGGAGGTCAACGTGCGGTAAATGGAAAGGAACATGCAAGCGTCGGAGTCTGCTTCAACTGAGACTAGCCAACGGCGCAGGACAAGATTATAGTGCCCAAGTGTATGCGCAAGCACAGGTGCACTCTCTATTCCCTCAGTCTCATAATCCGATGGGACGGTAAACCGACACGACCGGAGAGGGAGCAGGCGCAGGACTAACGATAATTTTTTTTCTCTAATTCTGTATCCACTAATGTTTGTTTAAGTTGCATTCGAATTGCATACAATTATTTTTAGGTACTTAATTTAATTGTTGTACTTTTTCAATATTTTTTGTACTTCGTAATTTGTATTTTGTAATTTGTACTTCTTATGCCTACAGGGCAGGACATATCTGAGCTCGATTATATAATAATTATGTATGTAACATCTATGCAATACCAATGATCAACGAAATAAATAAATGAATGAGTGAATGATCGGCTTTTCGTACTTTCCGAGGCACAGGGATGAGACACCGCCAACTTCCTGACTCCGGGCAGCTACTGAGAATTTTCGACGGAAAAACTCAATAATTAATTTTTTGATCTGACCCGGGATCGAACCCAGGACCTCACCATCAGCAGTCACACTACTATAACCACTAGACCAACGAGGACAGTGGTGTATATCGTTATCCTATAAGACAAACCGGAAGCTTGAGATGAGAGGCTAGCTGTGACAATACTTACTTGAACAGTTTCCGTTGGCTCCTTCTTTATCAAAACAAGCTTTTTTTCTAGCGAATTCTGTGGAATAACGTAGAGCCTCTTTATGGAGTCCTTTGAATCTGCATCGATCATTGATATAGGACGCGCCTGTAACGGGGCAGGTTTAATGATACGTTTATCTTCAAAAACTCGAGCCTCGGAGAGTTCTAAAGGGCGCGGGTCGATCACACCGCGACTTATTTTGCATTCGGTCTGAGGAACGGAATGATCCTCTTCCTCGTAGTCCGAGACTCGTTTATTCACAAAATTTTCATGGTTGTTCAGTGGCGACGGAACATCTTCCCGTCTATACGTTTCGTACAATCCGTTTCGGATGTGAAGTGGCTGAGTGCGGTACATATTGTGCTCCTGATCGATGCCGTTTGAAGTGGGGATATTTCTATGTACGACTAGATTGTGAGGGGCTTCGTCCAACTTCGCGTTCCGAATTGAATTCGCGATACTTGTCTGTAGGTTCTGCGAGTTCAGGCTGTTCAGGTTGAGCGATATATTGGGCTGCAAGTTTAAACTCGATTGTATGGTAGTTGGTGCGTTCAAGCTCGTTTGTACACTTTGAATGTTCAGTCCTGTTTGAATTCCGATTACACTTGATTGTGTGCTTAGATTGTTCGTTTGTAAGGTTGTTGGTCCGTTTCGACTTTCCACCTATTAAAATATAATAAAAATTCACGTAAATGAAATGATTTATAAGTGTAAATACATATGTATTTATATATTTTACTCGCCTGATAGTGATAAGTGGGCGCCGGTGACACTCGAATGACACTCGTGGCTACACCACCCATTGGTGAACTAACTCTACCCGGCCGGACCAGTTCTGGTCTAGAAAAAATAAAGTTCTAAAATATTTGTGGTACATGTTTTAAAAAAAAGAGATAGAAATTTATTTTTCATAGAAGATGTGAGAAACGAGCAATTGTATGCGAATGTTATTTTGGATAGACACCCACACATTACAACATAACATTTATCCAGCCGTGGTAGCTTAGATGGATTTAACCCGTATATGGGAGACCTGCATGTTGAGAGATAAGAAAAAAAACGGGGCATCTTTTACCTTCGAAAGGCTGTGCCCAGCAGTGGGACGTATAAAGGCTGTAACTTTACTTTACTTTATTTATCCTCAACTAAGAATTAAAATGCAAGATACAATGCCAGACTTGTTGGGAATAACCTGACCCGAAAACTAATAATTGGTGTTTTGGCACAAAAGTTGGCCTCGGCCGAGGCGCGCATTGTGTTAGTCGTGTATAAGGCCACGCGGTCATTACCCAGTTTAACCAACCATTAATCATGAGCTTCTACCAAGTGATCCGACTGGCCACAATTAGAAATGGGCCGAATATGGATTTCACCGAATACGAATATTCGGCCGAAAGTTCGGTAAAACTTTTACCGAACCCAATATTCGGCCGTACATTATTCGCCAGAATCACCTCGGTACCTAACCAATTAATGTCGAAACTTGTTACCATTAAGCGCGCGGGATTAGCGCCGGACCATGCCCTTTGCTTCCCCCCCCCAAAGGAGCGGGTGGTGGTGGGGCGGCTGCGGAGGCTGCGGCGACGAGATGGGCACGAACACGTTGCTGCGCAGCGTCGGCGACGTACCTGATGAGGCTGCGGTAGTGGTGGTGCGCGTGGTGCGGGTGGTGCGGGTGCGGGTGGTGGTGGGGCGGCTGCGGAGGCTGCGGCGACGAGATGGGCACGAACACGTTGCTGCGCAGCGCCGTCGACTTACCTGATGAGGCTGTGGTAGTGGTGGTGCGCGTGGTGCGGGTGGTGCGGGTGCGGGTGGTGGTGGGGCGGCTGCGGAGGCTGCGGCGACGAGATGGGCACGAACACGTTGCTGCGCAGCGCCGGCGACGACACGCCGCCCACCGGCGACGCGCCCGGGCTGCCCGACCGCGAGCTGCCCAGTGACACTGACGCACAAAGAAACATTACATTGTACATTTCATTTTACCGTGGTCGTCCAGTTTCTCTAAAATAAGTCCAAATAGTAGATCTCACGTCATATAATTATTCATAATCAATTTTCACTAAGAATACCACAACGAAATACTTTTTTTCTCACAAAAATAGTTAAAATTGCTTGTGACGGTAATGTGTTTAGTACTAGATGATGCAATAACATGTCAGGTGTGGCGAGGGAGCGAGGGGCAGGGTCCGGCGCTAATCCCGCGCGCTTTATGGTAACAAATTTCAACATAAATTGGTTAGGTACCGAGGTGATCCTGCCGAATATGTTCGGCCGAATATTCGTATTCGGTGAAATCCATATTCGGCCCATCTCCACTAAAGCCTATGCGTCACTCTAGCGGAGCATCATATCGATGGTGGCGAGATGGAATTGAGAGCATAACGAGAAACCCCTCACTTGTCTGTGCAGTATAAAGTTCAGTGTGGGTGCACAGCGGGAGAGAGTGCAAATCATTCTACGTAGTAGTAGTGCTAAGACAGTACCGTGGTTCCATCCGTTGTGGTGATTCTTCTGGTGATGACGGAGAAGATCGTGTTGCCGAGAGGCAACACTGTGTTACACTGCGATGTATAGTGTTGCTGTTGGTTAGCATACTTTGGTATTATCGTGTCATTTCGTCCCTCACGTTACACTGGTGTGTGATTGTGCCGGGGACGTATTACGTGTACGTGTAGTTTGAATGTTTAATGCGTTACGTTGTCTTAGTACTGATAATGAATTATTGCGTGAGCAAGAGAGCAAGTTGAACATCTGCACTCACACTTTTACTATTCACGCCTCATTAGAATGCCTCGTTTCCAGTAAAAAGAGTCCTCCAGTTCCCCACACTCACACGAAACACAGCAGCATCAAGCTGCTAATTTGCGCTAGTACTCTATGAGAGCGTGGTCCTTTCCCGGTCGAGCCGAGCCATTTGTTTTTTTCTTGTTGCATTTACCACGTGATCTCATAAAGACCATCGTAGTGCCCATTGTTAAGGACAGGACCGGTGACATCTCGAGCAGGGGGAACTACCGCCCTATATCACTTGCAACAGCAATTGCTAAGGTATTGGACAGTGTGTTTGACTCGGAATTAGATAAGTATGCAAACATACACGACGCGCAGTTCGGGTTCCGACCTGGACTTTCTACTGAAAGCGCAATCCTTAGCCTAAAGCACACTGTCCAATACTACACAGATCGCAAGACGCCGGTATACGCCTGTTTCCTTGACCTCTCCAAGGCCTTTGACCTTGTGTCCTATGGGATACTTTGGAGAAAGTTGGCGGAGAGGGGCGTGCCGGCCGATTTGCTGGAAGTGTTTAGGTTTTGGGATTCCAACCAAACTAACTATGTAGTGTGGGCTAATTCTCTGTCGGAAGGATATGTGTTAGTGAGACAGGGGGGGTTGACGTCTCCCAAGCTCTTCAACATGTATGTAAATGACCTTATCGTGGAGTTGAGCGGCATGCGCGTCGGATGTCGTATAGATGGCCTTAACATTAATAATATAAGTTACGCTGACGATATGGTGCTGCTCAGCCCAACGGTGGGAGGCCTAAGTGAAATGTTAAAGGTATGTGAGATGTATGCTACTGAACATGGGCTCACATATAATGTCAATAAAACAGAGTACATGGTCTTTGAGTCCGCTGGTAAATGTCACAATATTGCAGTTAATGTTACTCTTAATGGCATGAACGTGAAACGAGTCACTAAATTTAAATATCTGGGGCATATTATTACTGGTGACCTCAAGAATGATGCTGACATCGAAATGGAGCGCAGGGCTCTGGCGGTTAGAGGTAATATGTTGGCTCGCAGGTTTTCCCGTTGTACAAAACAAGTTAAGATTACGCTTTTTAAAGCATACTGCCAGAGCGTGTACACGGGGAGCCTGTGGGTCAAATACACCAAAAGATCACTTGAAGCCCTGCATATCCAATATAATAATATATCCAGGATGCTGTTGTTTTTGTAGTGCATCGGGGATGTTTGCGGCATACCAAACAGACGGTTTTAATGCCATCATACGCAAAAAAAACCGCATCCCTTATTAGAAGGTTACGAGCCAGTCACAACAGCATTCTGAGGACCGTAGCGGACAGGTATACATCGCCGCTGTGGAATTGTCTTGTGCAGAGACTGATAACTGGGCCCTATCTACCCCCCATGATGATCTGTCTCGGCACAGTGTATTTATTTTATTTCCCTAGATTTTAAGCAAACCATTGTTTTTTTACTAACCATTGTTATTATAATTGGGTGCGTTTGGCAGAAAAAAGCGCTAGGAAGCGCTTACAAGCGCTGAAATAGTTTTCGGCCAGGACACTATTGCTACTTCAGTAGCGCTGACACAATCCGCCATTTTGCTTATTTATTTTGTTTGATTTGAAGTAGAGTTTATAAGTTGTTTTGTGCAATATTAGTTTTAAGTAATATAATGACATGAATAAACATATACATGTTATTAAAAATTCATGATTGGTAAGTTTTTAATATGAATACTTTACAAACATATATTTAAATTAGGTTAGGTTCCCAGGTTCAATCTAACATCGTGTCCTGGAGGAAAATAGCTACTTACGATTTGACAGCGCTTACCGCTTACGATCGCCATTTTGCTTACAAGCGCTTGCTAGCGCTTTTTTCTGCCAAACGCACCCATTGTTGTTATTATTATTGTGTTACTAACTCACATATGGATTTTGATTATCTGATATAAAGAATTTATTATTATTTGTGCTACAACTATACTACGAATATAGCTGCAGCATGGCTCTACCACGTATCTATTTTTGATTAACAATAAAAATCTATCGGGTTGACGGGTTTCGGGTCGATAATACTTATCGATGTTTTTTTTTCTATTTATATCGGTTTACAAGAATGAGAGTCGCTGATAACAGATAATTGTTAAATATTTATTAATTTACAGGTATCCTATGCTAAAACAGTGACTAAAAAGCATAAAACTTGTGAATTGGCGTCTGTAGCAAATTTATTATAACGTAAATGATTTGTGGTATGGTATTCTTTAATGTAATTTAAGGTTTGTAAAATTCTAATTGAAGATATAGATGTTATTGAAATAGATATAATATTTTGGAAGCTCATTGATTTTATCTATTACGAGGACTTAATTAATGGTTAACATTAAATTGTTTTAATTTTTTTTTTGTTGCTATCTGCTGCAGTTTTTCCTACTCATTGAACTTTTTTAAAACCTCTCGAATGAACCATACATACTCCATGGAGAAACCCAGAACTCGCTCTATAGTTACGAATAAGGACGTAGATTGACTAACGCAACGTCGATTTTTGTTTTAGTTTGTGTTTAAGCCGTAAGTAGTAACTGATACATTTATTTATTGTATGGAATTATATTAAAATGATACATAAATAGAATGGTAGCTCTGGGTATAACATTTTTATCGATACGTTTTGTCACACTATCCTATCTCTATAATTAGTTTCGTAGAAGATAACTTTTGCTATCAGCGCCAAAATGGCAAAAATCAAATCGCCTCATTACGTCACGGTGTATAGCCAGTCCAACGTACCTTGTATAATAGGGTCAGCGATTATATAACACAAAACAATGCCTCTGGTTTGCTCCTTAATAATTTTCACATTTTTTACTTTTTGTTTAATTTTTATACTTTTAGGAATATCTGCAGTTTGGTTTATTCATTTCTAATTTAATTAATATAAAATATAAGTAATATTACCGAAATAAATTAACTTCCCCATCATGTAATTTGTCAAATATTTAACCGAGTCCTAAATGCAGTGTCCTTTAATTTTTTCACATTTTTAACTTCATTACACGTTCGCTAGTCTAGTTAGTTTACCACACAACTTAAGACAACGCACTCTGTACAAGCACGTCGCTGTTACATTAGACTCAAACCTCATGCTCATGTTATTATGCATGAGTACTACTAACTATTTCAAGAATACCAGCGAGGATCGAACTCGAGTTGCTTGCGTACTATAAAATATAATAACTAAGACTCTACCTTAGATCATAGATACTATCGAATAATTTCGAATGATGATCAAAACGATAGCAGGAGCGATAGTTACCAAGCATGTTGGCAGCTTCAGTCTCGTCGGGGTCGAATCGACCAGCGACTCGATAATGCGGCGGCGTCGTATCAGACTCCCGTGAGGTTTCATCGCCCTCTACGCACGTACCACTCGAAGACAGGGATTTACTACTGCTCCTAGAAGAAAATAAATTGTTATATTTTTTACATTAAAATTCAAAGATCACGGTTTCGTCGAGAGGCGATAATTTAAGATAATTCATTTCCTCATTTCGTTTCGAGAAAATGTCGCCGGAGGCAATTATTATAACAGCCAGAAATATCTCCGATAGATGACAGCTTATCTTGTTTTTGTCACATGTAATACCCAAACCCATGGAGGTTAAACCTTCATGCCCAAACCGGTGACGCGGAGTAACGACAAAGGCACAGCACATACGGTCAGCATTGCGTTTGAGGTTGTCGGCAAAATCGACATAAAAAATAGCTAGGGTTGTCAAAACGGGAAGTAATAAAAAAAATAAAAAACGTATTTAAATTTATTTCACGTATAAACAAATTAAATAACTTAATCAGACAATTGGTGTTCAGAAATAATAATCATACTAGGTTATAATAAGTAGAGCAGAGTTACAAAAAAAATAGTTATAAAAAATTGTCAACTGTCGAACACAATACAAGCAGTTTATAACGTATTTTTGAGTAATAACAACTTATTTAACACCATTATTTTTTTTTTGATTACATGTTAGTATGTAAGTTTTTACCGCACATGAAGTATGGACCATTTTAACTTATTTGCGTGACAGGACAACCCTAGTGAAACTGTCCCTAGCTACTAACAGCCACTCGGGAACTCTCCGCCCGCGTCTCGCCCCGCACCGCACCACACCACTGCCCATTCTAGACGTCTTCGTGGACTGTCTGTTAGTAGTCTTTTGACTGTGACAAAGGTCAAAAGGGATACTGCTAATGCCAATTCATCTGAATAGCGATCTTACTATAATGGATGAGCTTGTTATGTGATGATTGACACCAGTCAACTATAAAAACAATGCACAAGCTGTTATAAACTATTTATTTGATGCTCAGTCTTAGGGCGAGTCATTTACGGTTTCACTTGTTACCTGTGATGCGGTATGCTTGAGCGCGTTAATTATTGGGGTTAGATTTCACTTTAATCGTTTGTGTAAGCACAGTACCTCGAAGAGATGCCGCGTGTTTCAGAGCTTTTAGTCACTTAGCATTGTACGCGACTGAACCTCCTTGATGATCGGTGTTTGGCAAGATCGATGGACGAATGAATCAAAAGCACGCGAGTTCTATTGATTTTTCCCGGATTTGGACTGGTGAGACAGACAGATATACCTGGCTCTCGCTGGACTATCAAACCTAGCTCAGATTCTCACCGAAGGATGGTCACTTTGTTATATGGTAATGGATTAGTCGTCCGGTTGAAGGACCGATCTATTCATAGAAATGTGATAATAAGACAAAAGAAATGAATTAACGCTCGATTACTTCCAAAACCGATGTCGTCACATTTTAACACATATGCATTAAGCGACCGATGCCTGCAGCCGTATTATAAACATACGCAATACAATGATATCTAATGTTTCACATTGTAAATTTCAAAGTTTACAAAGGTAAATATCATAGTAAAGTATTCATCTAGATTTAAATTAGTTAAAACAATGACAAATAGTAAATAATCACCGATGAAATGTAATGCCTTTATTAGAAGAATTACACGTCATCGACGATCGAGACGATCGACGATCACGAGTTTTTAATACTGATAATGCTGCAGTTTACCATTATAGTAACATAAGTTCACGTACGACGTTCCCCGCGCAACTAAATCACAAAATGGTGAATGTTAACACATCATCTATCTATGCCACTTCTATTGTCTTATTATTACGATTTCTGTGGATCTATTACTCGGATCTCGTCAGTGGTGGGGTGAACGTGGGGTGGATGGGCTGTTGCCCGTAATTTGCGCACAGAATACTGGAAGATGGGCATGATGACGTTAGGCGTAGTAATGTCCTCAGCCCAAGAAGGGGGAGAGTAACGTGAAAACGGGAGAAGGAATAGACTAAAATACTTGTAGGGAGTTAAGAGTGCTCGCGGCAAAGCGCCACATACAAGTACCGCGTGCATCCCCCGAGATTCGGCCCGTATGACCTGAGGGTCGGTTGGGTCAGGTGGCGGGAGGTGGAGGGTTGTACCTGTGTTTGAGTGCATTAGTCAATTGCGGTTATACTGCACCTTTGGTGAGGCGTATGCGTAGAGCCGGAGCCATGCGCGAGCGGAGTGTTGGAGGAGCGCGCAACTCCTCGCAGCGAGAGATGCCGCGAACAGAAGCCACGCCGCTGGCTCTCCTTCGTGCAGCCGTCCTTCGAGCACAGCCGTCGCCACTGCTTGCCGTTGAACTTTTTGCGGATGCCCGTTGGAGTTGACACCACGTCACCTTTCTTGTACTTGTGCGGGGTCGCCGCTTGAGATCTGCACGAGATTGAGAATTTGAAATTTACAAGCTGAATTACGCAAGTTCTGCAAATGGCTATGTTTATTATTCTCTTTAAGCTTAATGCGGGATTTATATTTTACTATTTAGGCTTTTTTCTTTATATTTTTCTCACCTAGGAGTAGGGGGTTGAGATCGAGGGGTTAGACTACGTTCGAGCAGACTTGAGGTGCTGCCACGACTTTGAAGACTGCTCCGTTTGCTGTTATTACATTCTGTGGAAAAAACATGTTACATTAGTTAAAGTTTCTGATAATGTATAAATATAATATAACTTTATACTGTCAGCTACATGTTTTTTTGTTGGTTTTATCTTTATATATAGCACATGTTTGTGTATTGATTTAGTCCTTTACTCATTTAATCAAAAGGTGATCGCCATTGTTTTTGAAATAACGGATTATAAGAAAATAATAAAACATATCAGCTCCATTACCTAGAATGTTGAAATGTGAACCTTTTTTTTTGGAAATCAATTAGTGTCCTTCAGAGTCTGCATAAGACAAATTAGTTCGCAAACACTACTGCATTCACTACTGTGAAAGCAACTTCGAGAAACGACTTCAAGAGAACGACTTACGATTATTGGGTGTACTAAGAACATGTCTGAACGAACCTGGTGAATTGGGTAACTTGTTACACTTTCTTTGTATGTGAAAAGTACATCGTTTTCTGATTTTATCAAAGTTTTTACTAATTTCGTATGAGACAATATGTTATGTACTTATTGGTTTCTATTGCACTTTTAATATATTTAACAGGTATTGATAATAGTAATTTAATCTAACAATGTATTAACATAGACAAAAATAATAATGTCAAGACTTATTTTAGCTGCAACAAAAAATATTAACGAATATTTTACAGATATTATAACATTAGCGTATTTTGTTGCAGAGAAAAATTAATTAATTCTTTTAAAGAATCCGGTTCGAAGGATCAAATTCTAACTACTCTTACTGTAGAAGAAGAAAGAGATAAAATTACATCACAAAAGAAACAGGTGCAATCGATTAGGCACACCATGAAGTCTCTCCAATCAACACTTTATACACTTACCCATGTGGGACGCGTCGGTGGGGAACATGATGTCCTCCCTCCTCAGCTCATCGTCGCTCTCGCCGTAGTCGTCGAAGGCTCGTTTCCGCAGCTCGTCCATGGTGCCGTTAGCGAGCCCGCCCGCCGCCACGGCGCCCGCCATCGGCGACGACGTGTAGAAGTGGTCCCCGCCGATCTGCATAACACGTAATTCTGATTTTAACTTGGTCGAGAGTTACAAACGCAATTAATAGTGCGAACGATAACAACATTTTTGTGACAAACTAAATGTATAGCGAATTTAAAAGACTAGCCGTTCTGCAGTGTGTCAATATATTCAGGAGCCCCTATATATCAGCCCCCGCCCACAAGCTTATCCAATATAATAAGACCACAAACCGCGAGTCTTTTGCAATTAAAGTTAAAGCTCTAATTGAGAAAAACTTTTTCTTTTAACTCATTTAGAACAGCAGTATTTCTAGTAAATAATATCCCTAATAATTGTAATAACTTTACTATATCTGCCTAACTCTTCAAACAGGAACTGTATATTTTGTTATTATTGGTAGTGAAGATGGCTTATAACCACCCACACTCATACTTTATTGCATTCATATGTAATACCCAATTGCGCTATTCATTCGTTTATAAAAGTAATTTAGGTAAGTCCATCATTGCCAACATACACTGATAATTTTGTGTCATGTGACAAATAACTGATGAGATAAATCTCGACCCAAATCTTAAAAAATATTATCAAATATTATGCCCACCCATAACAAATAATTAAACACTTTTCTACCATTAAATAATGTAATAAAAACCACACTGTAACTGTGGTGGGAATCGTGGTTAGTTTCGTTTTAATATTTAACACTAAGTTTTGTCGTATTGTGTGAACATATCAGTATCAATTTTAACCTGATATCTCTTTACCTGACTGAGTATTCATGTATGTATGTTTATAGCTTTGGTACGTTCTATAGCTAAATGTAGATGTAGTTTGATGAACTTTAACATCGGGTGTTGTTAGATTCGTCTAGTTGTGAGGGTGATACCAGATTGCGGTAAATCTTTGTCAACATATTGCTTGCACTTCCGTGAAGGTTATAGACATAGTTGGATCCGGTAAGTGGTGCTGTCGTAGAATATAGATATCACCCGTTGGAAGCCTATTAGGGTATAAAATTTTCCTTTTTTCGGTAAAATTTTTACGCAGTCATGTTTTTTTAATTATCACTTAAGCTTTTAGCTTATTTTATATAAAGATCTAATTTTATGTTAAGTGTTAATATTTTTTTTAATTCAGCGAACATGTTGCGGCGTGATTCCCAACAACTACAATTCTCACCAAAAGAACACAATCGCTCTAAAAGATCCCACTGTCCCAGCGCTGCACGTACCTGCGTGGGCGGGTGGTGGGCACGCAGTATTTGCGGGTACATGGTGGCGGCGGCATGCGAGTCCGCGTCCTCCAGTTCGTCGGCCCAAGGCGGTTGCAACAGCCTTATGTCCGCTCGCTTCACCTCCACTGTGTCCTTACATAGCTCGCCATCCGATACCTATACAAGAAAATAGATTACACAAAGAAAAAATTTGGAATTTGAACGTCATAGTTGTTAATAGCCTTTGCAAACACAATAATAATACGTACTTAGCTACACACAAAATAAATTGATATTATAAGAAATGTTGAAAAATAGAAATAGGAAAAGTATTCATCGCCATAATCATCTATTTACATAATCTAGCTGTTCTCCGTGACATTGCCAGCGAAATTTATTACGATTGGATTTCATGGGTATTAATTTTTTTTGGGCGGAACCCTAATTCTTTTTCTAAAATAAAAATTGCTTACGTTACTCCTTATAACTGCCAGTAAAAATCCTCAAAATCGGTCCAGCCATTTCGGAGTTTAGCCGAAACAAACAGACAGACGAAAATTTCAAAATTTCTTTTTTGTTATTAGTACCGGGTTATTCCGTTTATCTACCGTAAAACAGGGTGGATAATCTGGATCATTTATTCTGACTTATTACCCCAAGTACCACAGAAATCGTAATAATAAGACAATAGAAGTCGCATAGACGCGTGACCTTGTCGCCGTTATTATGTGTTGAAGAACATAATTCACCATTTTGTGATTTAGTTACGCGGGGAATATCGTACGTTTTCTACCATTACAATAATATGGTAATTCAACTAATAAACGCATAAAATTTCATAGGTAATTTGATTATTTACTAACTACCATTGTTTTAACTAATTTACATCCCTATGAATACTTTACTATGATATTTACCTTCGTAAACTTTCATTTACTACTTTTTGTATTGACAATTACCATTGCTGCTTTTGTTCTACCGTAATACGCGACGCACGCGAAACTCGCCAAGCAACGTAATGTGAAGCATTAGATATCATTGCACATTGCGTATGTTTATAATACGGCTGTAGGTGGCGACATCGGTTTTGGAAGTAATCGAGCGCTAATTCATTTCTATTGTCTTATTATTACTATTTCTGTGCCAAGTACAGTTCAACTCATACACTTTAATTATTTTTTAATAACCACAAACTTATTACAAAAATCATAATATCATGTATTGCTGTAATAACGTTACAGCATTTAGCCTAGATCACATCCGGCATTGCTCTCATTTATCCGAAAAACTTGGTAATATGACGTCTAGTACGACTAGTACGATAGTCAAAGACAACTTAATAGTTGATTGCAATTTTAAGTGCTGATTTACAACGTGCTTTTGATGAAAGAAAACAATGTAAGAGAAAAACCTAACTATATATTAGTTAGTCAGGACCTAACTATATATTAATTAGTCTATAAAAATCATCCTCATTTTGGAAAATTAATAATTAATATCTTCTATATCTAACATAATTTTTATATCTTTAGGACATAGAAACTACGCTTATAAGTCCGAAAGACGCACTTGGCCTTGTGTATTTACTCAACAAAGTTTAATGATTTTACCTTTTCCTCGCCGATTAGCACTTTAACACACTTCATCACAAGGAACAATATTATCCTCCATTTTCACTAAAAACTTTTGAAAAAGCATAAATTTTCAACAGGCACAACAAAAACAAACATAAACATTAAAACGTGAAGTGAACTTGCAAACGTATCGCCCGCACGCCCGCGCACTCTGAAACATCTTCAGAGCAAAGCCCGGCTTTTGATTCCATAATAATTGCTACATTTCGTAGTTATATTTCATTATAGAACATTTTGCCACAGGTTAGAAAAGGAGGGATCGTGTTCTCGAAAGCCCGGTAAAAAGCCCACGCGTGCGAGAGAGACGACTAATCGCTCAAATCAACCCATTGCTTTCATTAATTTTGACAGTCCATTGCGTGTTCGCTTTGAGGCAGAGAGAACACGAATCTGTGTATTTCGAATTGAAAGCAAACAGCTAAGTGATGACGTAACGTATATACTCCGAGGTCATGACCTGTGTAGAACAAAAGAGCGTGCGGGAAATTTGAAATAGTTTAAAACATTTTACGTGTTATTTTATTACTTGATATTATTGATTGAGCAGTTTGAAATGGCAAGCCTGGCTTTTTGGCTTCTATGGAGGCTTCGCCACTGCTTGGAATCCTATAATTAATAAAATTAAATCCCAATATAAGCATACAACTGCAAGACTTCAAGATACTGTAAGTTCATACTGTGCAGATAGTAACAAAAATTAAAAATTTTAATCTGTGGTAACCACCGTTAACTACGACATCTGGACGTTGAACATCTCAGTCTCCCCGTGAGCATAGGTGCTGTAAAGTACTCGAAACCTCGAGTTTATAAAAAAAGTTAATATACGGGATAAAATCCGTAAAAACTTGTATTATTTAAACGAAAATGGTATTAAATGTAACAATAAGTATTAAATGTCATAGGACAAAGAAACTACCGTTTCTTTTTTTGAAATAATATACATTGGTTTGTGGCTACTGCAGTCCATGGACACTTGCAGATAATTTAAACAAAAAAATGCCACAGGTGCGTTATTACCTCTGGGAACTAAGACCATAGCTTGTAATTATATTAGCTAAATATACCCTTCAGAAAAAGGAATAAAAGAAGGTGGTTGAGGGTATTTGAAATGATTAACAGTGGGTACAAAAGTTGTTGAAGTAAACCTGCCCTGTACTACTTGCCCTGCCAGACAAAAAAATAAAATATTTTTCAAGAATATTAAAAAAGAAAAGCAATTATTGAAAGACACACCACCTATAGTGATAATAATTGTGGGACGGTCGTGCAAGAGGTGCATTTCCTAACTCGCCGAATCTAGGTGCAGTCGAGACTTTTTTTTTATAGAAAAAAGGTGACAAGCGGGCACACAGTCCACCTCTGATGGTAAGTGGTTGCTGTGGCCCATAGACATCTACATCTACCCTCGTTTGCGAATCAAAATGCAGATGCGTTGTCAGCCTTGAGGACTAAGATGGAATGCCTCTTTTCCAGTAAAAAAGGGTCTCCGGTACTCTACACTCACCATACGATACACAGCAGCATTAACTGCTATTTGATGCTGGTATTCTGTGAGAGCGTGGTCCTTCCCCGGTCGAGCCGACCCATTCGTGCTACAACTATACAATTAATATAGCTTCAGCATGGCTCTACCACGTAAAAATGTCAAAGTCTGAGATTATATCGCTATAATTTAACTGCAAATTGCAACTGCATTGCCTGCGCCTTAACCCCGTTTCGACTTTTATGTGGTCGTCTTCCTTTAGAATTTAGAAAATTATCACAATCAATTTTTTATTCAGGTCATGTTTTACTTTTTTTTTTTTTTTTATAGAATAGGCTGACAAACGAGCACACAGTCCACCTGATGGTAAGTGGTTGCTGCGGCCCATAGACATCTACGTCTATCTTCCATTACAAATCAAAATGCAGATGCGTTGTCACCCGTGAGGACTGAGATGGAATGCCTCATTTTCAGTAAAAAGGGTCTCCGGTTCTCTACACTCACCATACGAAATACAGCAGCATTAAGCTACTATTTCACGCTGGTATTCTGTGAGAGCGTGGTCCTTCCCCGGTCGAGCCGACCCATTCATGCTACAACTATACTACTAATATAACTGCAGCATGGCTCTACCACGTAGGCAGATTGGCAGATTACTGTTTATTTGTTAGATTTATTAGATACTGTACTGTACTGATACTGTACTGATACTGTTAGTGTATTTATTAGATACTGGCAGATTGACAAATAAAAACTTGTTTCAAATGTATATGATTAACACTCACCCTGACTCTTATTCTAATAGGCGAATTGTGCACTTCGAACACGAGTCCTTCAATGAATATGTTCTGCAGACTCTCCCTCGTCGGATCCGCAGTTCGAACCACACACGCAGAACCGATCTGAAGATGACTTAGCTGCGGACTTGCATCACTGATCACATCGTATTTGTTAGCACCGAACACATCACTATACTCCACTGGTTCGTTCTCCTGGCCGTCCAGTTCTACGATCACTTTACACCCTTCCGCCTGCCGTATCACACCCGGGACGTATAAACCTCGTTGTTTCGCTAATACCCTGTGGTCCCGCCACTCTGATAGGTCGATATTTGGATAGATGGAAAACGGTTTTATCTCAGCTGGAGGCGGCGAGCGTTGGACAATCGGCGATGGCAGTACTGTTGTCGTATAACTGGGTGCTGAGACGGTGACGTTAGACACACAATTTCGTTCTATATCTTCAAATTCGGAAGGGTCAAATTTGCGTTTCTTTGGCAGATTTCTTGGCACGGGGGCTGTCGTTGTTTGCTGGCCTGACGCCTGGCCATTATTGGTACTGCTAGCGTTGCCGGGATTAGTCGGATTTGCCATGGTTATGTTTGGGGTTGGATTGGTTGTTGACTGAGATAAACTGACGGTTCCAACGCTGCTGATCACAGATGCTGGTATCTGCGGATGTGATAGAATTATCGTAAGAAATACACATATATAATATAGAGCGCTCTATCTTCGACATATTGCAATTTTTTTACAACTTAAATGCTGGCTTATCATGTGCTCGGCGCAGAAGTTAATTATTGTAAGAAAACTGCATAACTAAAGAATATTTGCAAAACTTGCGTGGAAAAAGTCCGTCAATATCACAATAATGAGGAAAGCCTTGTTGCCAGCAGTGAATCTTTATAGGCAGTCAATTTCTTTTATTTTAATGTATAAAATTTATAATGGGCTCATAGACGATATCCTCGCATTTTATTGCTGCTCCTCATTTCCATTAAATATATAGCTAACTAGCAGTATCCAGTTATACAATCCTCTTAACCTACGATTTATTGGAGGTATAGGGTTATCACTCTTAATTTTCGTAATTTAAAAAAAAATTCTCATTTTAATTTAAACATTTAATTGCATTCTATGTTCTCCAATAATCGAATGAAATTTATACAAAGCGAAACTAACAAAACTACTCGTTTTAGTAGGGTATAATAACAACGGTTATTATACATTGTTAAGTGTAAAATATTGACTTTTTCTACGAGACGAACGGAATGCTCTATTATGAAAATTTACCGTATTAAAAATTCTTATCTTGGTGCTTGATGTTGTTGCGGCGCGTGTCGTGTGAATGGGTCGATTCAAACGTTTGTGCGGAGTGGGTTTACTGTTTTAGCTTTATATGTTATGTTTTCAGTTAATGAAGAGTTAAAACAAAAAACTGAAGGCTTCATTGACAGCGTAAAAGAATTAAGAACACAAGACAAATATAACACACTATATGAATTTCTGTGTACAAAGACAATAAGTAAACAGATGCATAAACAACATAAAATATTTTTTATAGCATTAGGTGACAAACGAGCTACAGTCCACCTAATGGTAAGTGGATGCTGTGGCCCATAGACATTTTTCTGCAAGTCACCTCTGAGGGCTAAGATGGAATGCCTCGGTTCCAGTAAAAAGGGTCTCCGGTTCTCTACACTCACCATACGAAACACAGCAGCATTACGCTTCTATTTTACGCTGCTATGCTGTGAGAGCGTGGTCCTGCCCCGGTCGAGCCGAACCATTCGTGCTACAACTAAAATATAGCTGCAGCGTGGCTCTACCACGTAAAAAATAATATGGCTGTCAAACAAAACAAGGCAACTGTTGAAAACTAGAGCTGACTAATAACTACCTTTAATGAAACAAAAATTATAAGAAGCTGTAATTAGTAAAGAAATCAAACCAACCATGAAAAAAGACCGACAAAGATTCAGGCAAAAAAGAAGAAACACTAGAAAAGTGCATACAGAAAACAGGAGGCATTAAGGTAGCAGCTAAACTGTTGACACAAAAAAGGGATTGGATACCCCATATTAAGGATAGAAACGACAAATGTGTAACTAAGAGGCCAAAAATTATTTCAATAGCTACTAACTTCTTTCAGTATACCATACAAAACATTATATACAACACTGATTTGTCAAATATGGATGATATTCCAAAAATAATGTATGTAGAAGTAGAGAACGTAGGTTCTGATGGAGTGAGTAATGATTTCCTTATTAAAAAAAGCCTTTACGCAACTATTTAACGATGTTTTGGAGATCGAGTTTATACCAGATAAGTGGACAATATCAATTATAATATTATAACATAAGGGTGATACAAATAATATCAATAATTACAAACCTATCAGCATAGTGTCTAATATCTACCTAATATTTGCTAAAGTGATTCTAAATATAATTACCAAAATAATTGATGAAAATCAACCAAGGGAGCAAGCAGGATTTAGAAGTGGATAATTTCGACATAAGATCATATTCATGTTGTCAAGCAACTGTTTGGAAAAAGTAAAGAATACAATATTACCTTCCAATGCTGATTGGTAAAGCCTTAGACTCGCTCGAACGAGATGATTTAGTTTTAAGAACCAAGGTGTTAAACATAAATACATATATACAATATTTAATACTGAGAAATATCTACAAAAATATTAACACCAAAATCAAATTAGGGAAGGAAAGAAAAGAAATAAACATAGGAAAAGGAGTGCGTCAGGGCGATCCCTTGTCTCGTAAACTTTTCACAGCGGTACTGGAGCACGTCTTTCGTCAATTAGATTAGGAATAAAATGGCCTACAAATTAACGGTGTGAATCTGTCGCACCTGCGATTCGCAAGTGATTCGATAATGTTCTCACCATCAAGTGACGGTCTCCAGGCAATGCTCAATGAATTAGATGGAGACAGTCGCAAGGTGGGATTGGAAATGAACCCCTAGAAAACTGAGGTCATGACAGATGGGAAACAGGAACCAATATGTATCAACAACAATATTATTGAATATGATGTGAATGAATACATCTATCTAGGTCAAATAATTTCACCTTCAGATATAATAACAACGGAAATCGACGAAATGCTTGAAAGCAATACTGAAGGCTAAAGGAAATAATATATAACAAAGATACTAGTATGACCATCAAACGCAAACATTTTGACAGTTGCATTTTACCTGTCCTCAAATATGACTGCCAGTCCTGGGACCTCGTCAAAACTCTTAAAAAGAAACCAGAAATTCGTTAAAACGCCATGTAGAGAAGCATTATGAGAAAAGATTATCCGACAGAGTAAAAATCACAACTATAAAGAAACATACAAAAACAAAAGACAGTCATGACAACATGACAGTCACAATTAAGAAGCTTATGTGGAGATGGACAGGATATACAGTTAGAGGAATAGACAAATTGAGCAAAATAATAATGTATTGGTACACAAGAAAAGGAAAACGGACAGACCATTCAGAAGATGGGTTGATGACATCAAAGCAGTAATACATATATGGACTAGAACAGCTGGTCGTAGAGAAAATTTGGAGGTGGCCTTTGCCAAAGAGAAGCAAACAGACAGAATCACCGAAAAATTGGAAACAGAAGCTGAAGAGAGAAAAAAAATCAAATCATATTTAACTGATTAACTTTATCCTGTGATCTTTTTGTATCAATTTCTGAATAAAGGGATATTATTATTATTATTGTATGTCTTCAGTTCATTAAATTTGGTTTCAGCATTTTGAAAGTATTTTTCACCGCTAGTCTGTCACCACCCAAGTAACACATGAAGCATTTTAACAAACTAATAGTAAACTAATGTAGAACTTAACATCCGTATAAACTCTTACGTAAGTTCACCGAGCAACTTGACGTTTTATATTGGCATTTCAAAACCATTATGATGGTTTACACTTTAGAACGGTTGGATAATGGCATATCAAAATGTTCTTGTAAAGCTGTTCGTTTTAATACAGCAAATCACAACGCAAATGCGAAAACGATAGAAAAATGCTGTAAGTCGGCCGTTATACTGCTTTGATTATTACTTGGGCAGAACCACATCCGTCAATTAGCAGGGTGCTCTGCGTGCAATTGAGATAAGCATTTGAAGAACGACCTATTACAACTTGCACTGATTTTCTATACACCACCTCGCATAATACACCAGGCTGGTGAAGGTGGCAAGGAATTACATATCCTCCCTATAATAGGAAATCCAGCAGTTACCAAACTGGTAGCGTTACTGTTATAGCCTATCAAAGGTCCGCGTTTGGCAGACAGGTTGACAAAAGAAGTTTTTATTTATTTATTAGTTGTTATTAAAAATAACGAGAAAAGAAAAGAAAAAAATAAACAAAAGAAAAAAGAAAGAACGAACATCTGCTGGCCGTATGAGGACGCTCAAGGTCGCTCAACGAGCTATGGAGAAGGCTATGCTCGGAGTTTCACTGCGTGATAGACTCAGAAATGAGGATATCCGCAGTAAAACCAGAGTGACCGACATAGCCCAACGGATTAGTAAGCTGAAGTGGCAATGGGCCGGCCATATAGCTCGAAGAACCGATAACCGATGGGGAAGAAAGGTTCTCGAGTGGCAGCCTCGTACCGGTAGGCGTAGTGTAGGGCAACCCCCCACTAGATGGAGTGACGACCTGGTAAGACATGCAGGAAGTCGATGGATGCAGGTGGCTCAGGACCGTGCTTTGTGGCATTACTTGGGGGAGGCCTATGTTCAGCAGTGGACTTGTGAAGGGCTGTAATGATGATGATGATGATGATGATGAGAAGCTGCTGCCTACCGTCTCGTTTGTTTCCCTCTGTCGCCTCTTACGACACCCACGGAACTATATGGGGTAGTGGATATTCTTACGTCGCCACTAAACGGTGAAGTGAACTGTTGTGGACTGATAATCCTGAAGGAATCTACGGCACCTGATCATCAATGTCTGCATAGAATGCATGCGCGTGCGAGCGGTAGTGCTGGTGCGCGGGGCCGGCCGACTGCGGCAGTGGGGCGCCGCCCGCTTGAGTGCGCTGCATCACCGCCTGCCGCTACCGCGGATCACTCATTGCCAGCGACTGCCTGAAATAATCAAATAACACCGTTATTACTTTTATAAACTACTCGGCGGCTACTAAACGGCTCGACTAGCCAAAGGATAATGTGCCCTTTCGTGCTTTCAGGTAGTAACAAGATGAAGTTACACTTAGAATTCATTTCGAACATTTGACGAGTAATAACTGCCACAGCGTACATCTATCGAGTCCTAGCAATCATATTCATAGATATTTCGAACCGTCGTGTCGACAAAACAAATATATTGCGTGAATATGACTTCAATAGGTCAATTCGTTCTAAAGTTACACGATCACTAACAGACACGTCAACGATTATAATACTATAGACTATATTTTGTACATATATATCGCTATGGCAATCTTCGTAGACGCTGCGTTGTTTCTGGAGTCGGCTCCCATTTATAATCCTATAAAAAATTATACGGTAAGTTCTGGTAGCTTAGGACGAGTGCCTTTGATTTTGCAAGTACACTCGCACTATCAAAATATAACTAACAACACATGGTTTCAGCCTATTAAAGTTCACTGCTGAAATTAGATTGCCTCGTAGGGGGGATGATATTTGCCACATTTGCCACGCTTGCAAAACGGGTTAGCAACCGCAGTTTTTTTTTTTTTAGTTGTTCTAGTGTGTGCCTAACGGCCGTGTAGTATCATCCCGTGGGTGTCGTAACAGGCGACAGATGGAAACAAAAGAACGATACAATCAGCAGTATTTATAAATTGTCTTTGTAGAAATTGATCAGGAGGGCATTATATCGTAACGTATTTTTGTCTGAAAATCACTCACAGTAAAATTAAAATACGTAATGTTCTCCATACGGAATTTCAGTCACGGTGGCCAGTCGCAACGGAAACTAAGTAATTTGCGCAGGACGGAATTACAGTGCACGAGTACATTTGCGCAGGCTTACAAAAGTACACTCTATTCCTTCACTCTCACAGTCCGATGGGACGGACACAACCGGAGAGAGATCAGGCGCAGTACCAACTGCTTTACGTACTGAAACGGCATGGGATGAAACACCCCCCCAAACTTCCTGACATCGGGCTCCGAACTGCTACTGAGAATTTCTTGACATCCAAACTCAATATAACTGGTTGGGCCGAACCCGAGATTCGAATCCGGGACCACATGATTAGCAGTCGATTACTAAACCAATGAGGCAGTTTGTATAAAAAGTATTATAATAATTTTTCCGCTTTTTATTTAAAATTAATGGGTATAATTAAACTGATATGTTTGAAAGAAAAACACTAAAGGATAACTTTAATTTTCGTCACACATTTTATGAAGTGGAAACTTCTTTAGTATCGTTCTGATTTGAAAATCGATGAAACGTAAAAGCGACATTAAAAAGAGAGAAACATAATATAATCTTTAGGATTTAGCCTGCGAAAGAGTGAGGTAGAATACAGTATACAGTGTTTCATAATATAACATGGAGACATGTGATCTATGTCTATGAGCAAAGTACATAGTACTTACGATGACAAAATTGAAAACGTTGTAATATATTACTTATGTGGAATAAAACGTAAAATATTTTTAAACTTGGTATTTTTTTTATAGGATAGGGTGACAAACGAGCCCATAGACATCTACATCTATCCTCGATTACGAATCAAAATGCAGATGCGTTATCACCCGTGAGTACTAAGATGGAATGCCTCGTTTCCAGTAAAAGGGTCTCCGGTTCTCTACACTCACCATACGAAACACAGCAGCATTAAGCTACTGTTTTACGTTGGTATTCGGTGAGAGCGTGGTCCTTCCCCGGTCGAGCCGAGCCATTCGTGCTACAACTATACTACTAATATAACTGCAGCATGGCTTTACAACGTTAAAATGGTAACAAATAGGCATAAATAAAATCACTAAACAAAACTTACCAAATGATATGTTTCATATTCCAAATATTTTTTATAAAAGAAATAATAATACACATGTATACTTGCACAATAAACTATTTAAAAAAAAACATGACCATGCGCAACAATAGTTTGTATTCGACTAAAATTTTGTAATAAACATTAAACTATCCATACTGTTACTGAATATAGAAAATTCTCTGATATATTGGAGCATGTTAACTGCTCTGTATACTTTGGGCCAATGCAATATAACGTAAATTCAAGTAAATCATTCGCTATCTCGTCAATAAACATACATAATGACTTTAATCGATAAACGCCAATTGATACATATAAATTATGAGTTGCACACATGTGATTCCTTTGCGTTATCATTCCTTTCAATCACTATGTCGGCCAAAGTGGGGTTGCCATACATTCTAACGTTGGTAGAGGAGTTAAATTTTAACGCTATTATTGACAGACGTTAAAAACTACATACAAAAAATTACGAATAAACACTTGTTTTAAAATTTTAAACAACCCTATCCCTCATACAGTCTCTTAATTCTGAATGTGTCTTAGTTACAAACTACTCTTCCATTGCATAATAATAAAATTTACCATCAACATTTCGTTACTGATTAATAAAGGCATCCCCCATAGATACCTCATAGGCGACGAACTGTGGTATTTGCCACAGTTCAAGCAAACGAAGTATTTTCTTAATAATAGGTGACACACCTAACCATCAATCATTGATAATATCTATTTAACTAAGTTCCAGTCTTATATCACAAGACCGTAAGATCAGGTAGCTGGCAATTTGAGAAGCGTTGTCATGCGTAGGAAGACGTTTAATGGATGTGTAAGGAAATATTTGAGGCAGGAAATTAACCTGCCACCTGCCATCTGGCTTTCAAATCTGGACAGTTTAAACCGTGTGAAAATCATTAAATCTTTGTACTCTGTACGAACTCTATACGAAAAACTGTTTTTTTTTTTAAATACAGCATGAATGAGTGAGTGTCACGCGCATAATATAGCTTTTATACGTGGTATAGCGACGCTGCAGCTATATTATGGTTGTAGCACGAATAGATCGGCTCGGCCGGGGAAGTACCACGCTCTCACGGAATACCAGCGTAAAATAGCAGCTTGATGCTTCTGTGTTTCTTATGGTGAGTGTAGAGAACCGGAGACCCTTTTTCTGGAAATGAGGCATTTCATCTTATTCCTTAGGGGTGACAGCGCATCTGCATTTTGATTCTTAATCGAGGATAGATGTAGATATGTTTATGTGCCACAGCATCCAAAGGCTTTATTATTTCTATGTGTGTTATAGACGTAAATGCACTAAAATGTCATCATATGCCCAAAACCCTAATCATTAATAGGTACCTAACATTTAAAACACACCAGTCAACACTGGCATGACTTTAAAGTATTATTTTATTTGGAGCGTTGTTAACTCCGTTTTCTACACCATGTCTTGGAATTTCACTGTTGGAAATAGTAAAAACCTTCACTTGGAAGATTTGATGTGAACGCTGAGGCTGAGACGATAGTAGCTTCTCCTCCTCATTTGTCTGTAAAATTTTAGTTATATGTATGAATTTGTTACACGGTATATAAAAAAATCTTGAAAATATTGCATATAAAGTTAGATAGTACCGTATACAACGTACATAATAGTAAATATGCTTGGGTATATATCAACTATATAAACCAGAAGTAATGCTTGCTGTGTCTACGTTTCTTTATAAAATCCCTAGGTTTATTAGTTTATTACACAATGGAAATATTTCAATTAACACAGCTCGTAATGTTTTATAATGGCAGTACTGTGGGATTTTGATTCATTCGCTTGCAAGCGTAAGTGCACTTATGAGCGCGTTACTAATTTACTCCGTGAAGCGTGCTCTAAGTTTTCAATATACCTATGTATGTACACACGAAAAACGGGTTCGATGCTCGGTGCGGTGGGAGGGATAATTGGTGATATGTTATCTGGTTATACTTTCTATTTGAATCACCGATAACAAATCAATACGTAATTGATTGTTAGGGTATTTTAGTACATATATAAATAAATTTCGTCACCCGACAGATGATAATTGTTGTAAAAGTTATGAAAACTACTGGATCTTTAGGTATGCAATAATTTAGCTTGTGTTTTTTATTTAATAAAAGTATACCACTTGCATATACAAATAGTATATGCAAGTGGTAGACGTTTTTCTTAATTTCTTCATTTTAATGTATAAAAAAACATGTTTCATCGTTTGGTAGGCAAAATATGCATGGACAAAAAGTAAAAAAACTATAAAAATTAAATTATAAAAGAAAAAAAAGTCTCTTCTGTCATTAAAATTATTACTGTGTAACTTAATAAAAGATATAAGGGAATCATTTCGTCGTCTCTGCCTTTAAACTCTACATTTTTTTAAAATACGCTAAGCATAAATGTATGTGCATTCACGATTTACGTTAATAATTTTGAAGGCAGAATTTTTTATTATAACAACATCAGTCTGAATTTAATCTATAATGATCAAGCGAGGTAAAACAGCTTCGAGAAGAATGACGATAAGAGGATTCAGTTAGAAGCTCCGTCAGGTTTATTCGTCGCCCATTAATGTTTAACTGAGATTTTTTTAATCTCTGTCATTAAGCTATGTTTTATTTATGCCAGCGAGCAATTCTAATATAGGCGGTTTCTACGGCTTTTATTAATTGTGTGAAATTTATTATAATAACAGTTAATATAACAGAGAAAATTATATTTTTTTCTAACGCCGAGCAAAGCTCGATCACAGAGGTCAGAAAGTTTATTTGAAAAGGTTAGGAACATAGACTTAGAATATAGTGGTTAGGAAAAACATTGTTATAAATATTTAATTTAATGAGAAGTGAGATATATGCCAGGTTGCACTCATAATTCTAATATAAAACATCATTTACGGTTTTCTCAGCCACACTTCATCCGTTTCTAATTAGAAAGGGCTTTGATGCATATTTCATCTCTCTTTTCTAGAGTGCGCGTCGTTTGATTACGCGTGCGTACCTGAACGTCGAGTTATAGGAGGAAAATAGGGAAAAATTAG